AAAAGTTTCCCTAGTTGTTGACAAACGTGTTTCCTCTCTCTGTCATTCCAGATATGTGCCATCATTGGAGGAACATTTACTGTAGCTGGGATCCTCGACTCCTGCATTTTCACAGCATCAGAGGCCTGGAAGAAAATCCAGCTGGGCAAAATGCAGTAGCAGTGAAACTCTACCCTCGACTCCGAGGACAGGAGCAAAGATTGAGAAATCTACCACTACCTGTTTTTGTCTTTATTTTCTATTTGATTGAATCAATATGGGTTTTTTTCTAAACAGGCTGTTCAGTGAAGACGTCTTCAACAAATCAAAGAAATCTCCATGCATTTCAGAGCTCTGAGAGGGAAAAATCAGTGGAATCAGGGTGTGGATTTCGATTCCCTCCCCCCAGAAAGAGAGGTTGAAATGCCATGTCAGATCTAAGTAAGGATGGCAGTCTGTCCTCTGGGAGGTTCCTATGGCAGTGTACAAACTAGGGAGTAGATGGCAAAGAGCTGAACTGTCTTGTGGCACTTTTTGGAGTTCTGTTGAATTTGCATGATCAGACAATCGATTTTTGTATAGGGCAAAATAACACATGAGGAAGAAATTCCACCCATGGTGCCAAAAAAGGTGATGTATCTGTTGGTGAGGAGTGGAAAGTGTTAGTCCCCACAGCAAACCTAAGAGACAGAGGGCAGAAACATCAAGAAATGTTTTGTGCTTCTGTTGAAAGCTCAGTTGTTCAGATACAACCTTTTTAACAAAGTGAAAAAAGAGCAGGAAGCCTTCCCCAGCTACCTTTTCCTTGGTAATCTGTGATCCCAGCAGAGGAGGGCACTTCTTTTACTCTGGATGTAAAAGTGGTTTCATTTCTTCCCACTAACTGAATATCCAGTCTTGTGTTTACAGGTGGCATGAAGTAAAAACCAAACTGAGCAACACAGTTTTATGTGGCCTTTGCTTTGAAAGGGAATAGTTGTCTTTACAGCATTAGGTTTTTTTTCTTCTGTTTCTAAACATAGAGCACCCAAAAGTCTGGATTCTGCACTTCTGCTTTATTATTGTTGTGTTGTTTTTTAATCTAAAAGAGGTTTTATATTCTCTGTGCTCAGAAAAATGGTGCAGCCCTCTGGGTGGATGAGCACAGCTTCCTCTCTTGCTTTGTGTGTGTGTATTCAATACACCTGCCAAACACAGGAATTCTGACTTTTCAGGATTTAAGGTGCCTCCCTTTTCCTTTAAAGCTCAGTCAGGGCATCTTTCCCGAGCCCTGGACTGACACTGTTCTCCCACAGGTACCCAGGGCAGCATTCCCACAGGCTGACCCTTGCTGGGAGTTTTCTTTGATCCCTTAAAAAGATTCCTGAACTTCCCTGTCCATTCCTTCCAGCCTTGTCTTCTGGAGCCTCCAAAACACGGTGCTGTGAGGGGAAAACTCCTGCCAGGGGTTGTCTTGCATGTTGTGGTGGGCATGAGGTCTCAAAAATGAGACCAGATGCCCCCCAGTGCATTTTGCAGAGCCTCATCAACATTCCTGAGTAGTGACAGTCTCAGTAATGCAGTAATTCACATGCCTTGTGAATGTCTGAGCTGAGGAGACACAGATTTTATGTCTTGTAGCATGGATTAAAAAAAAAAATAATCATAAAATATAGTCTTGAACTCAGTGCTGTAAAGTCTAATATGGGTGCAGGGTTTCTCTTGGATGATCTCCACTGCCTTTTCCTGGAGGCAAAATACCCAAACTCTACGCTGTGATGATACGAATTGTTGAATATTCAGTGTTATTGTTAGAGTCAGATGCATTTCAAAAGAATTCCTGATGGTCTGTTGAAATTGGGAGCAGGGAAGGGGCAGCCAGTGTTATCCACCCACCAAAAAGAAGCAGCCAGCTCCTCTCCCCCTGCCATGCTCTGCCCTGCAGTGACTTCAGACAGCATTGGGATTTTTCCCTGTTCTTCTCTTACTTTAGGTGTAAACTGGATTGTGTAACTTCCTGTACCCCTTCATCTATGGGTAGATTTTTTTTTTACTTTTATTTTTTTCCACATTTGCAAAAATGAACTTTTTCGATGAGGTGCTTGTGTTCATCTGGGGTTTGTGTGCCTGTGAGTGGAGCCCTCTGGATGTGGGATTTTCCATGGCAATTGCTTCTCCTGCTGGCTGAAGGATTTTCTCTAATCCACTGTGACCAGCTGAACTCACAGCTAAAATGTCCTAATTTTTCCTTTTGGATTTGGTGAGTCTTTGCTGACAGCCTGGGAACAGTGGATTACAACGATGAGATTTGTAATATTGTAGCATCTTCCTTACACTGAGATTTATTTAATTCATCCTTTTGAGCTGGGCAAGGGGAGATCTTTGCAGCACAGTTCATTTTTGAAATTTCTCCTCTGGTACAGTTTCTTTGACACAAGCAAAGGTGGTTGCAGATTCTTTGGTGTCCCCTGGTGTGTTATTCCCATCCTTCTCCCCATTCCCTTAAACTGCCTCTGTTGCAGTCCAGGCCAGTTCTCTAAACCAGACCACTGAAACTGGTTTGTTTGGGGTTTTTTGTTTTGGTTTTGTTTTTTCTTTTTTTTTTTTTTTCTCTTTTTTTTTTTTTTAATAAATCACTTCAGTGTGCCTGCTCTCTCTGCCAAAACATCCCCTATAATAAGGTGATAAATCACTTTTTTTTGTTCTTTTTTTTTTTGTGGGTTTTTTGTTGTTGTTGTTGGTTTTTTAGCAAGGCAGTTACTGTCTCTGCACCCATGAGATCTCACTTTTATTCTGAATTTTCTCTAGAGAAAATGAGCTTAGTTGTGCTTTTAAACCTCTTTGCAAACAAAAGAATTTCGAGTCAGAGCAGAAGGAAACCCTCGGTTGTAGGGTTCTGATTTTGCCCTTTCAAGTCAGTGTTTTGATACAAGTATTTGGGTTTCCAAAAAAGACATCCCTGTAGGAAATATTTGAAACTCCCACTTTAAATTATCCCCTGTGACTCCAGACTCCACCCTACAGTGAAAACTTGAGGCATAGGATGCTTTGCAATGGTGGAGTTAAAAATTTCTAGCTCTAGGGAAAGTTACTAGGTGTAATCTAGGCAATATCTGGACTGCTGAAGAGGATTTTTAAAAGAAAATAAAATGGAAAAAGGGTACAAAAACCCGTGAGAGATGAGCCGTGAATGCTTGAGCTGATCTCTCAAATACTTGCATTTCTGTGCGCTGTAAAAAATGAGATCTGCGATGTAGGTGGCCCTGTCTGCCACCAGCTCCTGGGTATTTCTCATTTCTTTTTCTTTCTCTGTGTGACACACGGGCTGTTGGGGCTGGGAATGGCTGTGATCAGTCTCTGCTTTGCAAGAGTTGTTTGAATTTGCAAATTGGGGATGTCGGTGAGGGGTTTGTCCCTGGAATGTGGGAGAGAGGGGCAGGGAGGAGGAGCAGCCCTGCCGTGTCTGGTACAGCAATGTTTAAAGCACAAGCTCTACATTTCTACAGTGCAGACTGTTAAGGAGTTCTGGCATTTGTCTTTTTAATTTGCAACCTTATGTTAATAAACTATTAGCATTTTTAGTTCCATAATTAAAAATAAAACTCTTACATGTTTCAGTTTGCTTCTTGTGGCACTCTTGTTGCACAATCAATCTGAAGGGTTGTTTTTTTCTTTTGTTTTTAATTAAGATTTCAGTGGACTGAGCGTTATCACACAGTGAAATCACTGGGAGCCAGGTCACCGTGGTGAAAGTTAGCACGAGGCTCTTTTGTAATGAGCCCTGAGTCATGTCTGAACATTCAGAGCTCAGTTTTGTACAGTACCAAGTGTCCCAACCTCCCTTTTTTTAAGGAAAGGTGGAGGGACCATGTTTGGGACTTGCTGGGTTTGGCTTGAGTCACTGTGCTCCTTGGTATATGAAATAACCCAATTTTTGTCCCCCCCAGCCCTTTAATCTCCACATAGCCTTACTTCATAACTATGTAGAAATGAGTGTCTGAGGCAGTTTTTAAAGATTGAACAATAAAGGGTTACAGCTCACTGAGTCTGGGCCAAGATACCTGCACCATTGTAAGAAACCAATTCATTTTATCTTGGTGTGGGCCAACGAGATCTTTGTGAAGGAGGAGATCCTGCCTGTTCCCATGGCTGGAACTCACATTTCCACAAGTGATGGGGTAGTGCCGAAAGTCCCTTACTCTGTAAATGACAAATAAATGCTCTGGGGAAGGTGTTTGTTCAAATCCCACCCTGCTGCAACTCAGTCCCAAACTTTATCAGCCTGTCTTTATAAAAAACCCAACCCAAACCCAACCAAGCCAATTAACTGGTTAATTTCTACCAATTTTCGTTGAGAATAAATGAATCTGTGTCCTGAAAATATATACCAGGGCCACATCTCCCTGAAAAGGAAATGGTTTGTGCAGGTGAGCTGGGTGACAGGGGCAGGGATGGAGGTGACAGTGACACAGGAGCAGGGGCTGGGCAGGGGAATTGGTGTCCCCTGGGGCTGGGGACATGGGGCTGGTGCCAGGTTGGTACCCGGGCGTGATGCTCAGGTGGGCACCAGGGATGATGCCCAGATGTGTGCCAGGTGTGTCCTGGGTCTGTCTGAGGTGTGTGCCAGGTCTGTCCCTGCTGTGTCCCGGGACTCACCGAGATGTGCCCCTGGTCTGTCCCTGCTCTGTCCTGGGTTTATCCCCGCTCTATCCCGGCTCTATCCCCGCTCTATCCCGGGTTTATCCCCGGTTTATCCCCGCTCTATCCCGGGTTTATCCCCGGCTCTATGCCAGCTCTATCCCGGGTTTATCCCCGCTCTATCCCGGGTTTATCCCCGCTCTATCCCGGGTTTATCCCCGCTCTGTCCCGGTTTTGTCCCCGCTCTGTCCCCGCTCTGTCCCCGCCGCAGTGCCGCCCTCCGGCCGCCAGGGGGCGCGGCTCCGGGCCCCGCAAGCGGAAGCGGAAGCGCTTCCGGCTCCTCTTCCGGGCGGGCGGCGCGGCGGCGGCAGCGGGTGAGGGACCGGGAGCGGCCATCCGCGGCCATCCGCGGCCATCGGGGCCATCCGCGGCCATCTCCGGCCGGCGGGGCCTTCGCGGGGCAGCGGGAGGGGGCTCGGGTGGCCGGGGGCCCGCCCGGGGCTGCGGGACGGGACGAGCCGGGGCCTCCTTCGGGCTGCGCTGTCCTGGTGCCTGACGGAGTTCACGCAGCCCAGCCCGCATGGGAGGTGCCGAGATGTGCAGCAAAGACAGCCTTTAATTTAATTTGTCCTTGATTTAATTTATTCTGTGCTGTCAGGATCAGTGGTGCCCTGACGCACAATGCTGTTAAAGCGTAGGAAAGGCCGGAATTATCTTGGATTTGCAGATGTGTTACCTGTTGGCTGCGCTGAGGAGCGTTACTGGAGCTGCTGGAGCAGAGCGAATTCTCTCTGCAAGCCCAAAATTCACATTTTTATAGATGGTTATGAGTGAGAGCGGTGTGGCTGCAGGGCAGCATCCAGGTGTCCTGAGCGCTGAGATGTGTCAGTGTCAGTCACAGGGACACTGTCAGTCCGGGCAGAGGCTGCAGCTTACTTGGAGCCCGGAATATCGGGGTTTGTTAATCAGCAGTGGGATTAAAAATAGTTGAAATTGCTTTTTAATGCCGCGGCAGACTCTGTGAGTGATGGAGTGTAGTGCGTGTGTGCGGTGAGCACCTCTCCAGCTGCTGGGTTTTTTTTTTAATGCAGCCAAAATAAAGTTCAACCCCTTTGTTGTTTTTTTTTTTTTTGTGCAGCCAAAATGAAGTTCAACCCCTTTGTGACCTCGGACCGCAGCAAGAACCGCAAAAGGCACTTCAATGCCCCCTCCCACATCCGCAGGAAAATCATGTCCTCGCCCCTGTCCAAGGAGCTGCGGCAGAAGTACAACGTGCGCTCCATGCCCATCCGCAAGGACGACGAGGTCCAGGTACTGCCCTGCCGCCCTTGAGCTTCCCCCCGAGGGGTTCTCGGCAGGAATTTCCCCATGGAAAGGGTGCTCAGCCCCTGGCACTGCCCAGGGAGTGTCCGGGGAAGGGCTGGAGGATGTGCTGTGGGCTGGGGCATCATTTGGATTTGATGATCTTGGAAGTGTTTTCCAAGCCAGCCGATTGTGGGATTCTGTTTCATGTGCAGCCTGTGGAAAAGGGAAGGATGAAACAAATATTGGTGCTGGAGCTTTTGCCCTCAGCATGGCAGAAATAGTCTTAAGTTAATCAGCTCATGGCTTGGGCTGTCAAGTGTTTCTTAAATTCACTTCAGTGACAGGGGTGCTAGCAGGAGCACAAGTGTGCTGGCAGTACTGCTGCACTTCAGCTACATGCATTGATCATTCTGCTCAACTGAGAGCTTTCAACAGCAAAGCACAAAGCAAATAATTGCTTATTTTTATAGACTGTTTGCTACCTGTGATATTTAAAAGATTGGATTAGAAATTAGTCCAAGCTAAGTGGCTTTTTTATATAAAACACAATGATAGGTGAAAAATTAAGGTAAAAACTGTTAAAAATTGCAACTTGACTGCATGGCTACAGAGCTCCCTCATTAGGGTTTGGTGCAGAAAAAGAGGGGGAGAAGCACAATCCTGATCCATTATATGTTCCATGCTAGTTATGCTGGAATTGTCAGGTCACTCATGTGTTTGGGGCTTGGATCTTGGGCAGCTCAGCTGGGTAATTCAGCCATGGGCTGTGCATGGTAAAAATGCAGCAAACCCTGGATGCAGGAAGAAATGATGATGTCTGCTCCAGATCAGAAGGCTGAAGGATTGCTTTATTAGAACTATACTATATTACATTGATATACTATTTAAAGAGAGACTGTCCTATTCTACTTGCCTAACTAACTCAAACTCGTGACTCTGCTGAGAGTCCAACCCAGCTGGATCCATTGGTCACTGACCCCAAACAACCTTCACCAGAATCCAACCCAGCCATCCCTGCAGGTAAAAAATCTCCAACCACATCCCACATGGGCAAAACCAAGGAGCAGAGATAAAGATTGTTCTGTCTTCTCTCTGCTTTTCCGGAGAGAGAGAATTGTGTCTCCGTGCAGAGAACATGAATGCCACGGGTGAGAGATGGGCTGGCTGCTCTGGGGCTGGTTTTGGAGCTGTGTGTGTGCTGTGTGCAGGTGGTGCGGGGACACTACAAGGGCCAGCAGATCGGGAAGGTGGTGCAGGTGTACAGGAAGAAATACGTGATCTACATCGAGCGCGTGCAGCGGGAGAAGGCCAACGGCACCACGGTGCACGTGGGCATCCACCCCAGCAAGGTACGGGGGCACCTGGGGCTGGCACTGCCAGTAGAGCTGGGCAGCTGGCTGCTCTGGGATTGGGATTGTTAACAAGTGGTGGGAATGCTGCAGAGAGCCCAGAGGAGCTCCAGGGGATCAGAGGGATGGAGCAGCTCTGCTGGGAGAGCTGGGATTGTTCACCTGGGGGGAGAAGCTTTGGGGTGACACAGTTGGGGCCTCACAGTGCCTGGAGGGAGCCTACAGGACAGATGGAGAGAGACAGTTTACAAGTGACAGGACAAGGGGAACGACTTCACACTGGCAGAGCAGGGTTAGATGGGATTTTGGGAAGAAATCCTTCCCTGTGAGGGTGGGCAGGCCCTGGCACGGGGTGCCCAGAGCAGCTGTGGCTCCTCCTGCATCCCTGGAAGTGTTCCAGGCCAGGTTGGACCTTGGAGCACCTGGGACAGTGAAAGGTGTCCGTGCCCATGGCAGGGTGGGACAGGATGGGATTTAAGGTCCCTTCCCGCCCAAACCATTGTGAGGTTCTGTGAATAACAAATGGAGATGCTGCCTTAAGGAAATGTTAGGGTGTCATGAGCAGAGATGTGAGCTGAAACCACAACCTCCTCATTGTTTCTAAGAGTAGAAACTTTGGAATCTTGCTAAAATACATCTTTGAAGAGACTAATGGTTTCAAAGCACAAAATGGACCACTTAAAACCATTTTTCTTCTTTGCTGTGTGGCACTTGCACTGGATGAGGAGGTGCTGGAGAAGTTTAAAAGATGCTCAGAATTGTGATTGTTCTTGCACGCAGTTGTGAACTGGCTACTTCTGAACCTGGCTTTAGCCTGAGGTATTTAGAGCTGGTGAAAACCAGGCAAAGCCTGTTTAGATCATAACAGGGAGCATTTCAAACTAAACACAAGAACTTGACAAAACCTGGTTTGAGGCAGATGAATTCAGTCTGCGTCAGCCTTGCCACATGGGCAACAAAGATGGAAGTGTTGGTGGAAAAAATCCAGTTGTAACAGGTTTTCTGGTGTAAATGGTTGGTGTGTTCAGCAGAATTATTCCAAAACATCACGATTTGTGTGCAGCAACAACATCTGACTGACAAGGTGACATTGTGGTGGAGCCAGTGCATGTATCTGTGTGCTGAATAGCAGTGAGAGAATTTTCTGCTGGTTCTTCACTCTGGGAAAATTTTAATTAACTGGGAACTAGACCTCAATAAAGCTTTGCATAAAGATTCTGATTATGAATGCAGAGAGCAGAAGGATGCTTTGTTAGACTTTCAGTGGGCTGTGTGAACAGTTTGTACCTCTCCTGGGCACAGAGGTGGGAATTACAATTGAGACCTAAATGCACAAAGAATTAAGGAGAAAGTTATGCCTACATGGCATTTCTAGGATTTGATTGTTAGTTCTATTTTCCAGGTAGTGCTTTCAGTAATACCAACACATTAATTTCTTTGCCAGTTTGAGGAGGCAGGAACAGGAATTGTTGGATAAATAATTCTTCCCTGGGAGGGTGGTGAGGCAAATGGTGCCTGGAGAAGCTGTGGCTGTCCCTGGGAGTGTCCAAGGCCAGCCTGGACTGCTGGGATCAGCTCTGTGCTGTGGCTCAGGTGGATTTGGGATTGGCTGCTGCCCTTCCCTCTGGACAGGGAGCCTGAACTCTCTGTGCTCTCTCCAGGTGGTGATCACCAGGCTAAAGCTGGACAAGGACCGCAAGAAGATCTTGGAGCGCAAAGCCAAGTCCCGCCAGGTTGGCAAGGAGAAGGGCAAGTACAAGGAGGAGACAATCGAGAAGATGCAAGAATAGTTTTCCTGATTGACACCATTAAAAAACTGCTAAAATTCAACCTGTTGTGTGTTTTCTTTCAAAAATATTGATGTGTCCTGCTCAGCATTTAAATATTCCTTCTTCTGCTTTGACTTTGTAAAAAATACACTAAATTAAAAAGCCCTTTGTACCTATTTTTACTGTTGAGAGAAACATTGTTTTCCCTGTAAAGAAATGCTTCAACCAACCTGAAAGAGCAGTGCAATCCTGAAACCTCCTAACATAACAGAGCTGCTGCAGCTTGTTGAAAACAGCGCTGCAGTTTGGTGAATTTCCTGGCTTGGTGAATGGCCCTTTTAATTGCTGCTACAGAGGGACAAATTCAGCTGCCTGAACAGCACTGGAATCTAAAAAAGAGGATGCTGGCAATCAGAGACAATAGTTTTAGAAGCCATGCTTTAGGTGGACGGTGGGTTTCTCTCATGAAGGCTCAGAGGTTTTGTCCCTCCAGCTCGTGCTGCTTAACACAAAATTTCTTCACCTTGAAGTGGGTGTTTGAGGAATTCCGTGAGGTTTGTTCTCTGTGGGACCTTTCCAGGTGCTGAGCTGCCCTGTGGGATCGTGTCCCACATCCCCAATTCCCTGAGGAACTCAGAGCCAGCCCTTGCCCGGCAGGAACTTCGTGTCCCCTCACCCGGCAGCCTGGTTGGGATGGGGCTGGGGAGCCGGGCAGGGGATCCCACGGTAGTCCCGAACCCATCAGAAACCCAATCCCATTCCAGCTCCGATCCCATTCCAGCTCCGATCCCATCCGGGCCCCGATCCTATTCCAGCTCCGATCCCATCCTGGCCCCGGTCCCATCCGGGCCCCGATCCCATCAGAAACCCAATCCCATTCCAGCTCCGATCCCATTCCAGCTCCGATCCCATCAGGAACCCAATCCCATTCCAGCTCCGATCCCATTCCAGCTCCGATCCCATCAGGAACCCAATCCCATTCCAGCTCCGATCCCATTCCAGCTCCGATCCCATCAGGAACCCAATCCAATCCCAGCTCCGATCCCATTCCAGCTCCGATCCCATCTGGGCCCCGATCCATTGCACGCGCCCCGCGCGCTCCCGCGCCCCCCCGCTCCCTCCCGGCGCGCTCCCGCGGGCGCGGTGACGTGGCGGGCGCTGATTGGCGGGCGGGGCGCGGCGGGAGGCGGCGCTCCCGCTGCCCTCAGAGCGCGGCCATGGCGTACGGCGGCCTGGCCGTGCCCATCATCGTCATGAGCGTGTTCTGGGGGGTGGTCGGCGGCGTCCTGCCCTGGCTCGTCCCCAAGGGCCCGAACCGCGGGTGAGTGACCGGGGGGCGGCGGGCACCGGCCGCCTTCCCCGCCGTGCCCCGCGGGTGTGGGGGGAGGCCCCGGCGGAGGCCCCTGAGGCGCCCCGAGGGTGCCCGGGCGCAGCGCGGACCGGCCCGGGCTCGGCCGAGGGGCCGAGGGAAATGCCAGAGCCCCTCGCGGGTTTGGGTTCCCCCTGTGGCCCTGGCACAGGTGCCCAGAGCAGCTGTGGCTGTCCCTGCATCCCTGGCAGTGCCCAAGGCCAGGCTGGACAGGGCTTGGAGCACCTGGGATAATGGAAAGTGCCCCTGCCACGGCAGGGGGTGGCACTGCATGAGGTTTAAGGTCTTCTCTAACCCAAACCATTCTGTGAAACCTCACAGGCAGAAGGTCCCGTGCCAAGGTGGTTCATTGTCAGGCGGTTTTTGAGCAATAACTTCCTCTTTCTTTCCTTACTTGACCTTTCCTAACTTACTCCACCTTTCACACTGGGTGAGACTGGAAAGGCTGCACTGCGGGGTTTCTGGGTTAAATGTGTGCTGCTGCCCTTGTAGCTGAGAGCAACAGCAGGGCTTCTAAGCACAGGTTTTTCCTGCGGTGGTTGTGGCTGCTCAGATTAAAAAGCAGACAAGTTTTTGTCTTTCTCTTTTCTCTAGGAGATAATGGCTTCTTAATCTCTCTTCCTCTCTCTGACACTCCCTCTACTCCACAGGTACCAACTGTCTTTTCTCTCAGTTCTTTATCTAAACCCTCAGTATTCCTCAGGCTCTGACGTTTCCTGCCTAACTTTCAAACCTGATGTGTTTTTCATGCCTGGAAATGTGCCTGTCCTCAGAAATACTTTAGAAAAATGGCTTCCAGGCATGGAAGTGTGGGAATTCTGTGCCTCACCAAGAGAAGTTACTCACCTACCATGAGGCTTTGTTACTCAGTTGGGGGAGGAAATAGATAGATGGAAATGCCTTTTTATCATTTAAAAAGAAAAAAAAAAACACTTTGCCACCGAGTTCCATGAGCTGCAGAGATCACTGTTAAAAAAATCTCATTTTCTCTCCTCCCATTTCAAACCCATCTGTGTGTGTGTAGCTGCAGTTTTACCATTTTCAATTTCAAGAGCTTGGTTCTTCCTTCTTTTCAGCTTTCCAGTGGTTTCTGACACAGCTGTGTTTCACCAAGAAAGGAAAATTTTACACTACAGCTTTGAGGTTTTATTTTGTGTTCCATTTGTAGAGCCCTCATTCATCACATAAAATTAAAAGTGACAATTTGACACTAAAACTTTCTTGAAGTAGAATTCTGCAAATGGAGAGGGCATTTATTGTGTGCATCCAGCCTCAGTGAAGGACACTGCATCAGATTTTGCTGCTGTTCACAGTGGTGTTAAATCCAGCTGTAAACTGTTTGGCAGAGCTGTGTCAGCCCTGCAGATCTGAGCCTCTGCAGTTTACTCAGCTGGAAGAAACCAGAACATTCACGTTGAGTCATCTTTCATATGATCAAAGTTTAAACTTGTCCTTGTTTGCTGTGGGGTTTTCCTCTGTGGGTCTTGTGGTCAGTCACAACACCACACCTGATGACATTTCTCCTTCCTCTTGGCAGAGTTATCAACACCATGCTGGTCACCTGTGCTGTGTGCTGCTACCTGTTGTAAGTACAAATAATGCCCTGCCTCTTCAGCAGGGCCCACTCCTCTTGCAACCACAAGCTCCTTTTTTATAGCCTCAGAGCAGTTAGAAGCTTTTTTAATGTGTCACAGAGATTTAGACACGTTCTTTGACATTCCCTTGGAATTCTGAGTTTTAAAGACCTTCAGTGCGCTGAAGAAATTTTCCCATTGGGAAAATGCTGAATTAAAAGGAACCTGAATTCCTCCTGTTGTCCTCTGACACATAACTGAGCTGTCCTCTGCATGGACTTGCTGTTCCTCCTCTCCAGTTCACTGCCTCATTTGCTCACAAATATAATGATACTTGGTCAATTCTGAAATTTTCCTGATTCTTAAGCTTTTTTTTGCCTTTTTTCTTTCCACTTTATATTTAATTCTGAGGTAATACTAACTCAAACCCACTGAAGAGTTTTGCTTTTAGATTCCTTGAATATATTCTCAAAATCTGGTAGAGTGGTGGGTGGAAAAGCTGCTGCATGGTGGGTTTTTTTAGTGAGACTTTGATATATTAAGACAATTTCTGTTTAAATGCACAGTGTATTTTGAGGCTGCCTCCTTTCTGTAGGAGATTTAGTAGCAATTACAAGTGAGTTGTTGAGAGCTCTTCATAGAATGTTTTTTTAATCAGGATTTAAGCCAGCTGTAGCTGGAGGCTGCAAGACAAGGCTTGCTTTTGTTTTTCTCTCCATCTTTTTAAAGATTGATCTTGTAAAAAAAAATACTATGCAGAAATAACTTTGAAATAATTTGTTATGGAGAGTAAATTGGTATAAGTCTGGTTTGATCTTAAGAGTTAACTTGTCCTAAAAATTATTTGAAGTTCCATTCAAACCTGAGTAATATTTGAACTTTCTTGAACTATTTAGGCATTATTTATGCTATTCAAAGGAATTTAAAATGAATATTTAGAGAAGTACATCTCAGTGTTGACAAGTTCCAGGAGAGGCTTGTTGGGTTAGACTGTGGTACAACTAACACAGGTTTGGTTTAGCTTAATAATGTGATATTCAGGTTTAGTACCAGTTTATACTCTACAAAACTTATTTCTATTCAGAGTATTTGATATATGAACTCCTAAGAATTCACTCTTGCTAAACTGTAAAAGTCCAGCAAACTTGGGTCTGTTTTGTACCCACAGAAGTTATTAAATTTAAGCTTTGCTGAGTGGATATAGAAATTTGAGAATTAGTGCAAGCAACTTGAATTTGGGATTGAAATTTGGGAATCTCAGTGCTGTGAAGGTCTCCTTGCCCTGCACATGAAGTTTGTAGCAGCCCAATCTAACAGGAGATTGTTTGGCTAAGAAAGGACAACTTTTCTGGTAATTTTTACTGGGTTGTTGCATTTATGTTACACTAAGTTGGGTGGTTTTTAATTAGGAGGAGGATTGAGCTTTGTTTTGGTTCTGTTTAAATTTCAAGTTCTCACTTGGGTTTTTTTCTACAGAAGCAATGTCCCACTCTCCTAAAACCCTTGAGGTTTGGTGTCTGTATTGTTTGGAGGAGGATTTTCCTTGAGGTAGAGGCCACATGGCATCTGCAGCATCCTCTGGGTGGTGATGTGAAATGTGCTTGTTGTAGAATTTCTTAACTTTTGGCTAAAGTCTGTGAACTCTTCAAATGTACAGTGGTACGTGACTTGTAGGTTTAGTTGATTATTTTATCTGAACAGAACCATTATAAAGCCTGCTGTTAATAACGTGTTTTATAAACTGCTTTTTTGCACGTTCGGGGGTTCTTTGGTAATTTTGTGGGCTCTGACTTGTTTTCTGAAAGCCAAATTTCCTTTAGCTTTCTCCAGTTATACTTTGGGGGAAAAAAAGCAGCAAAATCTTAGGATGTTTTCAACCCTTGGTAGTTGTACCCAACCACAGAAATTGGATTTGTAGTGTCTGCTTGCCAGAATGCAACAAAAGGCAGATTTTTCTCATTGTGTTCCAAGACAGAACTTGCCTCATCACACAGTCTTTCTCTTTTTATTTGCTCATTTATTCTGTATGAAACTGTAGAAGAACTCTGTTTGGAAAGGACCTCAAAAGATCTGATCCAACCTTTTCCCTCTGTTTTATGCAAACATATGGAAGTTTATTGTTCCTGCATTCTTTTTGTTTTGGAGGAGGAGGTACTGAAAACATTTAAGACTTTAATTTTGGGTGGTTAAAGAAAGAGATTAATTTTTCATACCAGCCTTGAAAGAAGCCCAAAAATTGTTCCTGGGAGTTCTTCATTAGATGTGTTAGGATTAAAATAGTTTCTGGTGTCCCAGGTATTTGTGTGTCCTTAGCAGTGGCTGGTGCTGTTCTGTGCTCCTCTGTACATCTGTTTAGTCTCTGCTAGACCTGCTTTTATACTCTTTGAGTTACCTTCCCAGTTGAAAGTAGGGAAAAAACAATTTCCTGTCTTCATTAAACACCACTTGATTGACAAATTGATTTTCACTGAAATTAATTCGAAGTCAATCACATTTCAACTTAAAACTGTTTTTTCTGTATTTAGATTTAACAGTGATAATTTTGAATAACCATATTGATTATGTGGGATTCATTTGGTTGTTCTGTGGAAGATAATTGCATCTAATTTGTGTACAGATCCTGTACCCAGCAGCCTTTTGAAGAATAAACCATTCCCAGAAACCTCTAAAATCTATGGGAAAGTCTAAGGAGTTACTGCTGCAGAAATTAGAGGTTACACCATATTGTGAGGTACTGTCAGAGTCTAAATCTATTTTGCTGTGCACAAAGCAGTTCCTGAGCAGTGTCATCATGTCCTAACAGAGGACAGGGTGCTTGGAAAATCGTATTATTTGCTACTGATTCTAACAGGATTAAAATATGGATGCCCAAATTGACATTTAAACAGAGATAGCAGGACCTTAATTTGTAACACGAGCACAGACAGATGGCAGTTGTGGTGGGAAGACCTTTTAAAAAAAATCTCTCTGGTACAACAGAAGGGACTTTAATTTCCTTGTCTGAGCTGGATAATTAACAGTAACTGTTCTAAGTGGGATCTGGTAGAATTTAAGGACCTGTGGGTGGCTCGAATGCGCGCCATACCTGCTTTTAGCAGCTCTGGAACATTGCATCTTGGATACAGAGGTTTGTTTTACTCTGAATGCTGCGTTTTGTTGTGTGTTGTCACGCTGGATTATTGTATAAAGCAGCATGACTTAAGCAAAACACGGGAAAAACTTTTCATTACTTACCTTGAATGCGAGGCAGTTGCAGCCTAACAACTGCTTTAAATTCCTCACCCTCGCAGGGCAGGGGGAGGAACTGCTGCTGCCTTAATGCCACCCTGGCTCCGAGCTCGGGTATCCAGCACGGCCCCAACAAACGCCTTTTGAAAGCTCCACACTGCTTTTCCCAAAGGCTGGTTCCCCAGGCTGAGCTTCTCAGTGTGCTCCCAGCTCCTTTAATTCACAGCCATGCTGGGCCTGAGCTCGGGGAGCAGCAGATTCGTGCGAGGAGTTCCTTCCCGCTCTGCGGTGACAAAAGGAAAAATGTGCTTTAACAGGCTTTGAGTGTTCTACCCTCCTCCCACTTGTGTTACTTCAGGAGCTGGAGGCAGATGGCACAGTGCTCTTTGGATCTGTTGTTGGAGCTGAAAAATTAACCCTCACAAAAGAAATTCCCTGATAATTTAAGAGCTAATTTGATTTCCTATTTGCTTTCCTATTAATATCATGCTCTCAAAATACATTGTTGTCACTGCTTTGGACAGCAAAGTAGAAACGTGTCAACCTAAAGGTTTTTGGCTGTTCTCAGTGGTGTCTTGCTGATGTTTTAATTCCTTTGTAGAGCCTGCTACGTGTTCCAAGGTTTGTGTGACTGATGGACTGCTGCAGGCTCAGCTCCTTGTTTTAGCTGGGGTTCTACCCCATGCAAAACCGAAAGGGGCATTGCAAAAAAATATCCGTAAATTTGAGGAGGATTGATGTGTCTTCTTTAAGTCTAACCCACGTCTTTTGCCCGTGGCTGTTGCAGGCAGCCGACCTGCACTTGCACTTGGTTTGCTGGTCAGAGCATCAAGGTTTGTGTGGAATTTTCCATGACTGCCTAAGCACTCTGATACATTTGTTGCAGCTCCCATTACAAAGCTGCTCTGCTTTTTCTCCTCCTTACAAAGCATTCTAGAAATAGCAGACAGATGAGCCAGTGTGTTCACTAAATGTGTTTATATAGTTAGTATTTAACATAGATTTAAATCCATGGAAGCATCCATTGCTTTTTCTGATTCTTGTAATGTTTACAAAGCAAATATATCTTTTAAGAGTAGAATATTTATTTCTGTTTAGCTTTCCTGGATATTTTCCACAAACTACATTCCTCTTGTTTTCAGTTCTGGCCATGGCTTCTGCAGTGTTTGTGCTCTGCCCCAGTGACAAGGCTGCTGTGCTGATGATCTGGGGTTTGTGTCATATTGGGGTTGTTCTTGTGGGGCTCTTTTTTGTTTGTTTGGGTTTTTTTGTATTCTTTTGTACCCTTTTACTTCAGGTCCCTGTTACTTCACCTCTGTGCCAGGTTTAAATTCACTTTTGTTAAGTCTCTGAAAAATATACCACATCTGTCATGCACTGAGAAGCAAATGAGGGAGAGGATGTTTCTCCGAGGTTGTTGTTTAAAGGACGCTTCAAAGGCACTGAAAAAAAGTCTCTCTTTTATGTTTACATTTTCTGAGTCCCCAAATACCTGAGTTTCATGTGTCTCAAAACACTTTGCTGTCAGAAGAGAGGTGTGAGGGCAATGCTGTCAGGTGGTTTTGTGTTGCTTTCAATTGAACAGGACAATCTTATTTCAGCTGCAGAATGATTTGGTGCCATAACGTCATTGCTGCTGGCTGGTCCTTATGTATGAGCTTGAGCAGAATTTTTATTTGAACCTAGACCTTCCTAAAATAGCCTTTTCTTCTCCGATGGTCCTCGTGTTTGGACAGCCTTTCCATTGTCACAAGCTGTCATTTGGCTGATTTGTCTCTCTTGGGTTGGGGGGTGTCTTGCAGTTGGCTGATTGCAATTCTGGCTCAGCTCAACCCTCTCTTTGGGCCGCAGTTAAGCAATGAAACAATCTGGTACCTTAGATATCACTGGCCTTGAGGATGTGTGTGCTGTGCTGCACTTCATTGGCAGGTGAGTATGATCAGATTTATTGATATATTTGGTGTGTTAAAGCTTCAGGAGAGATTGAGTAGTAACATGAGCTGTGTGCTCAAACTGTTGTAGGTATTTTGTAGGAAAAATCTGTCTTCCTGTAGGCTGCAATATAACATTTTGGATGTTAGTCTTGATTGGATATATAAAAAGCTTGAACTGAATTATTGGCAAGTTATTTTTCTTTCTCTCCTGTTGTGTAGTGCTGTGTTCAGGGATTTGTAAGGAGAAGAAAACATTCATTCAAAAAAAAAACCCATATAATTGAACTGGGGTAACAGAAGTGGATTTCCTAATCTTTACCAATTGTTAAACCTCTCCTCGAGCCTGCTACCATTTCATCTAAGACCTGTCCTGATTTCCAAGGCAACACAGCATTGCCCTCATTCATCTGGGAAGTTGGAATGGGAGCTGCCATTAGAATGTTCTTCATCTCCTGAGCTCACAGCTTGATAGTTTATTTTGTTTTTAATGACAGCCTGTGTGCAGCTTTAATCCCAGGGGAGCATGGTGGTTGCTATCTGGGCAGTGCTGCTGGAATGTGGTTCTTGCAGTTCCTGGGCTTTTGAGAGGGCCAGCAAAAATAAAGTGTTGTACTAAAAGTATCTTGATGCTGTTGGCCTTGTTCTGGAGGGCAGCATTTGGAATTGAAGATTCAAATGAAGGAAATATGGAAACAAGCAGCCATGGTTATAGTTTTTAAGCTGGTAACTGAATAATTAAACACTTTTTTTTTTGTCCTTGTACAACACAGTCTCAGCTCAGTGCAGCAGGCAGTGACAGTTGATGTTATAGCTCTGTTAAATGCTACCTGGGAAGTGTCCTGGACATTTGCTCCCCAGTTTCAGAGAAGGCTTCCTGGGAACTGGGATGTTGTCAGACTGGGCCTGTGTGTGTGTCTGCAGCTCCTTTTAAGCACCAAGCAGAAGCTAAAGGTAGACTTGGCCCTGCTTCAACTCCAGGCCTGTAATTAGCTAAGTCAGTCAAGCAGAATTTCCTAGGAGCATTTTCACTGCTTGGGTGCTAACATATAATTACTTAGCTAAAACAGAGAACAGTGTGTTTTGGTAATGGGCACAAAGATCCCTGAATCCCATAGGATGATTCAGTTGCCTGGGATCTGAAATCGGAGTTATCTGGACATGAAAATTGGGTTTCCTTGCATATTGAAACCAGCAAGGACAGGCAGGAGGTGAGACACAACCTCTGGACTCTTGCTAACAGAACCAGGAACTTTTCCTCTCCATTTCAGTGAAGGATTTTCCAGAGGACCGGAGTTAAATTTGTACCAAGGAAGAGAGGGAACTTGTGTGTTTGAAGCTGACTGCAAAGTTTCTGAGGAGCTGTAATTTTAAATCTTATTAATGGAGCATTTCACCCCTGCATAGCACATGCTGTTTTGTTACATGAAGGAGTTTATTTTAACCTTTCATCTGATTTTATTGGCTTAATTTTGGAATAAAATTAAGGTTGTTGTCTCTGAAAAAGAAAGATTTAGAAAAGTAAAAGCATATAATAATCCTGAAATATCTGTTCTTTGTTGCTTGAAGTGTGCTGTCCCAGGTCACACCCCTGCATTGTTGTTTGAGTGCTGTTGTAGGGCAGAGGTGCTCCATGTCCTGTCCTTGCTGCTGTGGAGTTTGTGCCTAGACAGGAGCTGTGAGTGAGATTCCATCTGATAAGAGCTGGGATATCTCTCTGACACTGCATGGATTCCCATCAGTGTAGCAACCAGTTATTTCTGGATTTTCAGCTGTGCTTTTCCAGCATTCAGGGAACATGTACTATACTTGTTTCTGCCTCCTGTTCCTTTCAGTTGAGGTTTGGGTAGATTAGTGTGGAAAATGCAAAGAAAATAAAGTGCTAACTCCCAAAGTGGAAAGATCCTTAAAAATAAGGATGATTAAAGCAAACCCATTTTACTTCACTGAGCAGCCTGAAAGTGCTCCAGTGAGCTCCTCGTGTTCTGCTGAGGAACTCTGCATATGCTGGCTTGATTGATCTGTGCCAAATTCCACAAGTTTGCTCTGTGTTTTCAGGCAGTCTCCCTCCCATCCAAGGGATGATTTTATAGCAATTCAGTTGCTACATCACCGAGTTAATGGCTTGGATGGCAGCGTGTAAAAGCACACAGAACTCTGTAGCCATGGTGAATCCAGGCTGTGCTATTCCAAACTGATCCAACAGTGCCTTTTCTCCTTAGCTTGGTGAATTCCCAGTCTGTGTTCTCAGAGCAGGAACTGTCTTTGTGCAAGTGGAGAAGGGCTGGGATCCAGCTCACTGGGTGCTGTTACAGCAATGAAAACATTTGAGGGTAAAAGTTGTTCTACCAGCTTATAATGTAACTAAAACTACTTGTAGTAACTTCAGAAATGAAACTGCCAAGAAAACATCCACGCAGATGAATTATCTCCAGTTGTTGACCATTGCTCAGTGTGTTTGTGGAATGGAGATAGCTGTGGTTAACAGCCAGGCCTTCAATTAACAAACTGTCTCCTGGAAGGAATAATGAAGTTGCCTCTTGCTTTGCAGGTGAAGAACAGATGAAAAACTCCACTGACCCAAAGGTGCCCTTTCTGTAGCTGGTTGGATATGAAGCCTGCACTAATGCCTTAATCTTTCTCATGTTCTTCAAGTGGCTTCTTCTAAATCCTGGTGTTTTTTCCTACTATTCCATTTAACAGAGTACCTAATGCAATTTATACTCTTCTTTGGTACTGTCAATTTTTGATGTTAACTCCAGATGTGATGAAAATTTCTGTTTTTACGGGTCATGCAATTACATTTCCTGTTCATTTTATCTGTAATAACTCTTTATATTTGCAGGTCTTAGTTTGTCTGTCATTGTGCTTTCAACCCTGTTCTGTTTGCACTGGACAAAAATGTGTGCAATAAACTGCGTAGGGAGAGGAGAAAGATTGGTACCACGTGCTGATGGCAATTTTTTTTTTTTCCAAATGAATTGTATTCTTGAGAAATCTGGCCTTAAATTTCTCATGCCTGGAAATAAAACTAATCCTCTGCTTCATACAAAACGTTCTCGTGCCATGTTTAACTGTTATTTTTCTGTGGGTTTAATTGGATGCTTGGAGCTGAGCTGAGGATATTTAGATGATATGGATAAATTGTAATGAAGTTAAATAGTAGGAATAGATGGGAGATTGTTGCCTGTGTCGAGACCTCTGGGGTTTATGTATAATAGGATTAAATTTGCAATTTAAAATTGCTGAAAGGTGCAGGAGTAAGTGAATGCTTGGCTTGAGAGCCTCTTTTCCAGGAACTTCTCATTGTCTGAAGGGTACTCAGAGTAGCAAAGGTAACATGGCTAATTTGGATGAAGTCTTCACAGTGATTTTGACAGGAGGGTGATTTAATCCTTGGCACATTTGGAGAATATTATAGGAGCAAATGGTTTGAATTGAACAGCAGACATTCCCATTGTTTTGGACCTGAGCTTTACATGTGGAATTGCAGACCTGGGAAAGCACATGGCAATGTGGGCAGGATGTTCCTGAGGCTCCTCAGTGTCAGCTGAGTCCATGGGATTGGGGTGGATCTGGGCAGTTGTTTGCTGAGGAGCAGCTTCAAAGGGTATAAATGCTGCTCTCTGAATGCTTCCTTACCTCATGTCCAGATAAATTACAATTATTCTCTTTATTGTTGTGCACAAGGACATCATGGAATGGTTAATATTTTATTTGCTTTTCCCTCTTGGATAGCACCACTAACATGTTCAGTGGGACAGTACTTGTTACTAGACAGGAAATTCCAAATGTAACATGTAACATTGCAGTGATCCAAAACTGGACAGTGTGAATTTCAAAAGAGAGAAGAACGTGCCACTTATTACAAATAGGCATAGCAGTTGCTGGGACTGGAATAGTGAATTTTTTTGTCATGTTACCTTCTAAGAGCCATATTTTACCGTGCAAGATGTTGTACACCGTCATGTTACACAGTCTGTACCAAAGAATTCCTAAGAAAGTTGAAACCAAGTGATCATATAAAAACTTAAAGTTGTTGTTTGATATTTGAGGTGTGTGGAGAATAAAATATGTTGACATCGTATGAAGAGAGGGAGAGAAATACTCCAAGATATCGTTGACAGATTTTAAGATTTTGAAATGTGTTGATCTGCTTGTCATATTTAGCCTGAAGTGAAATACCCCAAGAGAAAACACTCAATGACAAACAGAGCTGGTTTTTTGTGTTACCACTGCCTTTAACAAGCTTTCTATTTTAGGTTCTAAGCTATCACTTGCTCTAGAAGAGAGAAGTAAAAGAGTTCCCATGGGATGTCTCACTGGTGCTGAATTGAACGGAAAGAGATATTCCAAGCCAGGACAAAGAAGCCATAGAGCAGTTTTCACCTAGATGCTTCCCAGAAAGACATTCCCCTTTTCCAGAGTGGTTAATATCTCCTCTGGAGCAGATGCCAGGTGCTAGCATGACTGAAGAAGCTGAAAGAATAATGTTTTGTGTCTGTTCTGCTGGATATTGCATGGTGGTTGGGGAATGGTCTGCTCCTTGTGTGCCAGGAATTAACACTGCTTGGGATAATTTCTTTTTTTGTTGCATGACTGCAGGAAATGAGAACAGAGGGATTCAGCCACTGGTACTGAACAAACAGTGCAGGTACCAGAGCATTTATTATGCATCCCTCTGTTGTCTGACAGCAACACAGAATGTTCAAGTGTAAAAGAAAGAAGTTTGTGCTTGAAATGGAAAACCTGTGCCTGTGTTGAAAGATATTTGGGTATAAAACGAGGAAGGTGAAAGAAGCCGATCCACAGTCGTGAAGATTTTTGAGTCATAAACTCTGGCAATGTATAGTGCGAGAATTCAGGTCAGGGTCATTTCAAGTGCTTGTAACTGCTTTTGTTCATATTGTTTAGGAAATGCAAATATCTGCATCTCTGCCTGCCCCTTACAAGTAATTGTTCTAGAGACTTTATAGAAGTTTACTTTTCCTCCAGTGGAAATCATGGAAGCATTCTACTCCTGTGAAGGGCTGAGTTACCAGAGGTGGGTGGTTGCTCCCTTGATCCCAGAATTAAATGTCATGGACTCTCTGGGGCAAAAATAGAAGAAATGGAGTGAAATGCAAAACTTCTTTAAAGAACAGAAGACATTCTTTACAAATAGCAAGATAAAAACTGGTGGGTCTATTTTTTATTATGTTTAGTAGTTCATTATTTCTCCAGTTGTGTCTGAAGCAGTCACCAGGCCAGCCACCTGTCACTATCAGAGGTGGTTGTGCATGTAGCTAAGGACAGTAGGAAAAATACAGAACTGGAGGTGTGAGACGGACGGATGAAGGAAGGGGTGAGTACGCGAGTGGGGCCGCAGAGCGGCAGGAGCGGGCTGTGGGGAACGCGAGCCCGGCACCGCCTCAGGAGCTCCGGCCGCGCCCCCGCCCCGCCGCGCTCTGCCCGCGGGCACCCGCCTCCCCGCCTTAAATACCCCCCGCGCGCCGTCCTGCCGTCACGTGGCACCAACAGCCCGCTGCTATTGGCTGGCGCAGCCCCCTTCCCTCCGCCGCCCTGTGCGCGCCGCCCCCTCGGGCCACGTGAGGGGCGAGTCACGCGATTTCCGGGAACCCGTCAGGAAGGGACATAAACAAACAAACCCGGGGCCGCATGGAGGGGCCGGGCCGGGCCGCGCGGGGCCGCGGCCCCCGCTGAGCGCCGTGAGTCGGGGGCTCCGCGGGGCTGCAGGGCACCGAGAGCGTCGGGGTGGTGCGGTGGGAGGAGGCGGTGCCGCCGGGCAGGGGGCTGCAGGGAGAGAGGGAGGGAGAGCGGCACGGGAGGTGTCCGCCCGGCTGCCGAGGGCGGCGGGACGGGGATGCTGCCGGCGGCCCGGCCGCTCCGCTCGCCCGCCGGGGGGGTGTGGCTGCCGCGGCCGCGGGAGAGCAGCGGAGCGCGGGGGGTGTGCGGTCCCGGCTCTGGGGCCCGCGGCTGGGCTGGGGGCGATGAGAAGGGGCGGCAGGGACGGACGGAGCGCGGGCTGAGCCCGGAGTTGGTGGCGTTGCCCCCTGCAGCCTCCGCCCGGCAGGAGCGGCCCGTGCCTTTACAAGGAAAGCGAGCGCCGGGAGAGGGAAGCGCCGTCCTGCCGGGACAGCCCGGCCGCTCTGGGTGTGCGGGCGGAGGAGAGGGGAGAGAAGGGCTCGGCATGTCCCGCGCTCCTGCCTTTCGGGCTCCTAGTCACCTCCTCCGTTCGCGACCTGTCTGAATGCCCGGGCCGGCCGGGGCTGCCCGGTGGGCGTGCGGAGTCTCTGTGCCCGGGGCTGTCGGTGCCCGACGGGCGGCTCCACTCCGAAGGCTGCGGAGCGGAGCTGCCGGAGAGGGGTCACCGCTCTACGAGTGCGGGGCAGGACGGGACCGTCCCCGCTCCGGCGCGGCGTTTATGTAACGACAGAGCGGAGGGACGGCTGTTCGCTGCGAGCCGCCGCTCCGGGAAGCGGCTTCCCTCGGGCAGCGCGGGTGCGCTCCCCCTGACGGGGGTCGCCGGGCAGGAGTGGCTCCCCGGCCGCGGGGCAGGGCTCCGTGGGCGGTGTGCCCGGCCCGGGGGGTGCCGGAGGCGGCGGGCGCGGCTCGGGGGGCGCGGGGCCGCGGCCGGGGCGGCGGGAGGGGGTTTGTTTACATGTCGCCTCACCCTAGCTTGAAAGGGCCGCTGGGCGGCTGAGCGGCAGGCGCGGCGGCCAATGGCAGCGCGCGCGGCGGGGCAGCCAGCCAATGAGCGGGCGCGGAGGGCGGGGCGGAGGCGGCCGGGGTAGGCTGCGCCGGGCGGCGGGGCGGCCATGTTGGCCGGAGGTGTGTTAGTGGGTCAGGGCCGGGCCGGGGGACACCGGGGGGACGCGGGGCCGCGGCTGCGGGGGCCGCCCGCGCTGCCCGTCCCTCCGCAACCCTTCGCCTCAGCGGGGCTGTCCCACCGAGCCGTGGGGACCGGCCCGGGGCGGTGCCCGCGCACACGGGGTGCCGTTCCCCGCGCTGAGGGGAGGACGGGGCGCGTTCCCGGCTCCTGCTCCCGGCCCGTCCCCTCAGATTTGGGTGGTAAAACATCCTCAGGAGCCGCCCGCGGGTCTCGGCGTGTCCCCCCACACGGTGTCGGACACCTCTCCGTGTCTGCGCTAAGCTCACGCAGGTTCCCAGCCGGGAGCACCTTGATTAAAGCCCCTGGTGTCACCTCAGACTCAAACCCAGTCTTTATTATTTACCTTTCGTCCCCAAGGTCCCCTCCCCGGGCGTCATTCCCCACCCGCGGCATCGCTGCCGTGCCCTCCCTCGGCCCTGGCAGCCCCCGGCATTTCCCGGGGCAGCGGCTGTGGAGGGGATCCGCTCTCCGGGATAATTCCGCTGGCGTGGGACACACGGTGTTTATTTATTCGGCTTCCCCATGCAACAGGCTGCAGCTCGGAGCACTGGAGCTGCCTGCCGAAATGTGCGATTCTCATTTAAAGTGATCGTGATCTTTCTGTTGCTGCCACAACAGAGGGGTGGCTTGTTGGAATCATGCTCCGCATAACAGGCAGGACAGAATTAAATACTCGTATCGTCTTTTAAACACTTCTAAATGTTTTAAAGATTGTGTTTAAAAGGCTTCTGAGGTCGCTTCCGAGCATCTTTGTGGGGTAGGTTAATTATGATTATTATTTAAATGTGTTTTCATAGTAAAAATTACAAAGAGGGAGACGCAGGTGCTTTAGAAATTTCTATTGGTCGATTTCTATTGTTGGGTGCTTAAATGAGAAATCAGAATTTCTATGGAAAATAAATCACAGAATCCCTGAATGGTTTATGTTGAAAGGGACCCTAAAGATTATTTAATTCCAACCCCTGCCATGGGCAGGGACCCCGTCCACTATCCCAGTGTCCAGCCTGGCCTTGGACACTTCAGGGATCCAGGGGCAGCCACAGCTTCTCTGGCTGTGATGGTTCTGCAAGAAACCTTTCCTGCTAAAATAATCTTGGTGCGATTTCCTTTCTAAATGCATAAATAACAGCAGCTCAGAGACCTCAGACATGTCCATAGCCAGTAGCTCACCTGAGCCAAGAAGGAGTTTTATTCTGTGTTTGATGGGAGTATTCCCTGATGAGAGCAATCCGCAGCAGAGGCGTCAGGCCCCCTGAGCATCCTCCCCCGGTGGTTTTTAAATAATGAGACAGGCAAACAGCCTGTGAAGGACAGAGGTTGAAGTCAGCATTAGCAGGAATTAATTGGGAGCAAGCAGAAGCTTTTGTCCCACTGATAGCTGATGGGATAAATAAGGGAACCCACAGGTTTACATTCCCATAGCCTGCATGTCCACGTTCTGTGAGTTGGGAAGTTCAACTGAATGTTTTAACATCAAACCTTGATCAGGAGATTTGGCATTGCATAAGAATTGCTTGGGAGTCAGCACTGGCATGAAAGTTAAACCAAAAGTTTTGTTACAGTTGTAAATTTAAGGTTTAGACCTTGCTATAATAATTTCTCTGAGTTTTTTGAATCCTTCTGGTTTTAAACTCTTAAGCCATGTGTTTTTTACAACTTTGACTGATGTATTTTTCTAATTTTCTGCTGGCTTTGAAGTATTTGGTACGGATGCCCTATTTCTAAATTCTGTATCAGAGTATAACAATTGTAATTTCACAGTACAAAGAGTGGACCAGACTGTACCGTTCCCTTCATCATAAGACTTGTGTTGCTTTTTATTTTTTCCTGGAAACTACAGAATTAATTTTTGCCTTCATCTGAAAGACTCTGTCAGAAAAAAATTTAGGAACAGCCATCCTGTCAGGATATAGAATATTGCTGGAAATTGGAAGCTGAATCCTTGTTTAGTTTTGCTTTTATTGTTTGCCTTTGCTTTCACCCCACTCTGCTACAGGGGAAATCTACACCTTAAAAAAATAGAAATGTTAGTTTTTCTACTAATTCTCGTGTGCAAACAACTCTGCTCGGCAGTGTTATTTTAATAAGGTTTATGCTATGAATATTTTCAATTTAATATTTTTTAAAATTTTATTTAAATCTGTTAATATAGTTTTAATAAGTTTAACATGCTGCACATCCCACTCTTGGCACTAAAATAAGAATAAAATCTCTGTCTCTGTTGCAGAACATACAGAAAAGTCCTTCTAGTAGGAATATATTGATCTGGGCATAGTTGTCACAAAATATGTGGATGCAGAATGTTTGCTAGTATAAAAAGTAATCACTTTTTTTTTTTGCTTCTGCCTCTTGCATGATGGTCAGTATCAATGCAGGCTGGGATATAAACACAAGCAGGGACAGATGCAGAGATGGAGCAGCCCTGGGAGGAGGATCTGGGGGTGCTGGTGGGTGAGAGCTGGACCTCAGCTGGAGCCCCAGGCCCTGCGCTGATCCCCCGTGGCAGCAGCAAAGGGGATTGTGCCCCCTGTGCCCCCTCAGGTGAGACCCCACCTGCAGAGCTGCCCCAGCCCTGCCCCAGCACAGCAGGAGCTGGAGCTGCTGCAGAGAGCCCAGAGGAGCTCCAGGGGATCAGAGGGATGGAGCAGCTCTTGGGAGAGCTGGGATTGTTCACCTGGGGGGGAGAAGCTTTGGGGTGACACAGTTGGGGCCTCGCAGTGCCTGGAGGGAGCCTACAGGACAGATGGAGAGAGACAGTTTACAAGTGACAGGACAAGGGGAATGACTTCACATTGGCAGAGCAGGGTTAGATGGGATTTTGGGAAGAAATCCTTCCCTGTGAGGGTGGGCGGCCCTGGCACAGGTGCCCAGAGCAGCTGTGGCTGCCCCTGGATCTCTGGAAGTGTTCCAGGCCAGGTTGGATGGGCTTGGAGCACCCTGGGATAGTGGGAGGTGTCCCTGCCCGAGACAGGGGAGTGCAACCAGATGATCTTTAATCTCCCTTCCTGCCCAAACCATTCTGGGACTCTGTGATTCCATCAGTTTTGGGATCTGCCTGTTTGCTGATACAGCTAGGACAACCCCAGAGCTGGGAATTGGCATTGGCATGGGGGGTCCATGAGTTCTGTGCTCCTTTGGGGGCTCATGGGCTCCGCTGCCTGAGGTGGTTTGTGTGTGGTTGCACACTAGAGCTTTTCTTTAGAGGTATCACTTCCAGGTCTTGAAGTCTTGAAGTCTGTCTGCTGTGGGCGAGTAGGATTGGAAAAATAACACTGGAGGGGGAAGGGATGGTCAGTGGAGGAACAGGAACACAGACAGTGAAGTAACAGCTTCCCCCTCCTGAAGGGAAGAGGCTTAGAAGAAGTGAAAGAAGTATCTTTAGTTCTTTTAAGTGGCAGTGCTCCATCAGACTCAGGGTCTGGGGGTTTTAAGCAGGTGTAATTTTCTCTCCAGGACAGAAAAAGCAAAGAGCATAATGCCTTAGATGCTTGTGCTGACATTTTAGTAGAAATCCTTCATCGACAAGGGAGACTTGGCTGCTTTTGTGAGTCCAGGAATGAGACTGCGGTGGGTGGAAATACAGGAAGACATTTTAAAAGAGTGTCTTTGCTCACTGCTGTGAAATAATAATAATAGTACTGATAAACTTAGTGTCTTTGTGGTGGGGGAGAAAAATAAAATAATTTTTTAAAGTCTGGATAATTATTGAAGAATCATGTAGAAAGAAAAAAAAAAAAGGGAGCATTATTCAGAAACAAAAGTAAAAGACATAAACATTAATTGAGGTTGGAAAAGTCCTCCAAAGCCATTGAGTCCAACCTGTGGGGGTTTCCCACCTTCTGAACCGGACCAGAGCCTGGAGTGCCATTTCCAGATGTTCCCTGGACACCTCCAGGGATGGACTCCACCCCGGGCAGTCTGCATGTTCTCAGCTTGGAGGCTGCCCTGAGCAGAGGATGTTCTGTAGCAGAAAACAAGTTGGCACAAACTGTGGAAGGAAAAAAATGTTTTTAAGTGATGTGCAGGAGAACTTCTTGCATCTCTAACTCCAGTATTTCATAAAATGTCCAGATACAGCAAACAGTGCAAGGTACGTAATGGTTCTTTCCAAGCACATGGTGCAGATTTTGTGCTTTCTCTGAAATTCAGAGCTGGCCAGGAATATTTCAGCCTGAGCTTTTAGGTTTAGTACTGGCAGGCTCTCGTGAGCTATTTTTTTATACCTGCATCAAAATTGTGACTTTGACAAGCTGTGCTGTGTGATGCAGTCACCACCGTGAAAGTGTAATTGTTCCTGTAATGCACTTACAGCAGGCATTTAGCTGCTGGGATAATGAGCACTGTGCAGCCAGCAAAACAGCACAGCCACGCTCCATGTGCCTTTCCAGTGGTGCAAAATACCCAGCTGAACTGGGCCAGAAATAGCAACTTTTGTTACAGCCACTGCACAAATGATTCACGCAGGTAACCGAGGAAGATTTTTCAGAGGTGCTAAGCTAAAAGCTGAATTTTTGGGTTTTCTCTTCGAGGGGCTTCTTTGGAGGTGCTGTGTTGTGGCAGGAGGGTGTTTTAGTGGCCCAAGAGGCAGCACATGCACAGGAGCTGCACTGTGTGTCCTAAATGCTGCATGTTTGGAGTTTGGCTCCTGCTGCAGGCTGGGTTAGACCAGTAATCCCAGGTAATGCACCTGCTGCTCCCCTGTGGGAAACTCATCTTCTTGGGCATCCTAGAACCACTGTTCCTCTTCAGAAACTAAATATTAAATACAGGGGATCGTTTTTAATTAGGATTTGTCATTAGATTAATTAGGTGTTAACTCCACAGAGCAAGCTTTGGTTCCTTGGCTGATGGGATTTTAACCAATGTACATGTGCATGCCTCCATCAGTAGCCCGGATTCCTAAATGTTAGAGGGACACATCTGTTCCCGAGATCACAGAATCATGGAATGGTTTGGGCTGGATGGCACCTTAAAGATTATTTCATTTTAACCCCCTGCCATGGGCAGGGACACCTTCCACTATCCCAGCTGGCTCCAAGCCCTGTCCAGGCCAGCTTGGAACACTTTCATGGATGGGGCAGCCACAGCTTCTCTGGGCACTCTGTGCCAGGGCCTCACCACCCTCCCAGCGAGGAATTCCTTCCCAAAATCCCATCTGAGCCTGCTCTCTGTCAGTTTGAAGCCATTCCCCTTGTCCTGTCACCCCATCCCTTGTAGAGTCCCTCTCCGTGTGTGTTGCAGGCTCCCCTCAGGTGCCCTGCCCTTCCTCAGGCCCCAGAGAAGGCAGGAGCCTCCTCCCAGGAGCAGAGCTGGGCACTGATGTGACTCCAGACCCGGAGCCTCCTCCCAGGAGCAGAGCTGGGCACTGATGTGACTCCAGACCCGCAGACACAGAACCAGCTCCGGGCCTGGCTCCTTAATCACCTTAATCTGATTTCCCTGCAGGCTGTTGCCAGAGGAGCCAGCACCCTGCCTGCTGTTCGGGCTCTGTATTCCACCTGTGCCTCTGCATTTGGGAAGGGCTGATGGAAGGCATTAATGGTAATTGTCCTGAAGTAGAAATTCCTGCTATATTTATCTTCAGTAATTCTTCGTGCTGCTGTACTTGAGCTCTGCCACAGCACTTTTAGTTCATTCAGAACTGCATTCATTATAGATAACACAACAGCTGGACTATTCTTTTCTAATTCAGTCTTGGGCTGAAAGTGCCAGTAATGATAAATTCTGTAAGAATGGGATTTTAACTGCAGTCTACAAATTACTTTCCTTCACAGCAAGTTCCGATTTGACACCTGTGCTCCCATATGTGTCATTGATTTGTGCCTTAACATCTTTATTTACCAGTTGGTGAAGAAACACTGGTGGTTAGGTATAAGCAGCAGGAGGCTTTTAATGATGACCTTGATCTTTCTGGGAAATTTAGAAAGCAGTTGGAAGCAGGGCTGCTTTGTTTGGAGCATGAAGGATATCTGGATTGTGCAGCTCCCTGAGGCAATGTCTTTTCATGGCCTCACTGTGTTTTCCCCCTCCACAAAGCTGCTAAGAAAGATCCTACATTGTGGAATAGTTGACTAGATGCTACTGGGATTCAAGTCACATTTAAATATTAATATTATAAGATGTCAATAATGAAATATAAAGAGAATTACGGGAATAATTGGGTTAGCTGATACACTGCTTTGACCTGAGAGGACATACACTGGCATTCTTAAATAGTGCAAGAAGTTTATCACTCCAGTCTTGGAGATGGTAAAAGTATTCTGAGCCTCAAATGTTTGTTTTGAGGATTTGGAAGTGATCCCAAAGCTGGCACCTGGAAGTGTTGGCTGGTTGGTACTGAAATCAGTGTCAGTAGAGATGAAGTTTCACCCCCTTTGCTGGTTGTGCGTGGAACAGCTTGAGTCTCGTGTTCTGACAAAAAACATGACAAAGAATAGCCAGTGAAGAAGCAGCAAATGTTTCCTTTCTTTGCCCTTTGTGTCATGGACAGCTGTGGCAGTAGCCTTGTGAATGCAGGAGGTGGTTTGGTGGTGATGTCAAAGTATTAATCTGATGAAAAAAGGCATCAATCTGCATGGAAAGAAAATGTTCAGGTATTAGAATCATAACCTTGCCTCTCTCTTTGTGTCTGAGAACATCCCAGTGTTTGTTTCAAAGAACCCTTTCTCCTAGCCCAGGTGAAGTGACTCAGTAATTCCTGCCACGTCCCCACCTGGGAAGGACCATCCTGCTGTGGTGTGGCCTTTGCTGGGTGAAGGGAGATGGGGCTTGCTGAGGCACAAACTTCACTTTAAATGTCACTTTTAAATAAGTAAAGGGTTCCCTGGAGGTTTTGGAACAGAAAGGAGCTTTTCTCACAAGGAACTGGCTCGTTCACCACAGGGCCCTGTGAGGAACGGCTGCTCTGGCCGGGGTGGCGAGGGTTCAGCTGAGAACTCCTGTGTAACTGGACCTGGAACTGTTGTTCTTTATATTCCAGCTGCTCTTTGCAAAGCAGGCTGTTTTGATAAGTAAAGGCTTCTTTGCATAGTGTCTGTTTTTACCACAGTCTGATAGTCCATATGCTAAAGAGGACAAACTAGCTGAGATACCATCTGAAAGTGGGAATAATCACGGGGATGCTGTCATGTGCTGCTGGGGGAGGGTTCTGAGCTGTGGGAGAACACTTAGAGTTTACTATTTGTTTTTAGAAGAGGAGAATAAACACAGCCTGAGCAGATTGCACCAAAGTCTGACTTAGGAGCAATGCTGAGTGAGGGTTTTCCTTACACTGTTCAAAAAGCTCAGAAGAGTCATTAGACAAACATCTGAAGTAGAGCAGGTCAGTAGAAACTCTTAAACTGGTAAAACTACCAGTAGATAAATTGGTCTACTTTCAACATATGCCTTACTTGAATTAATAGAGAAGGTATTTTATTGGACAGCTGTGAATTTGGCAGTTTTTAATTTGTTCTCTTGGGGAAATCTGTCTGTTCCACTCTGCTGCTGGATGGTTTCTGTGATCCTCTACCACTAGATGTTGCTGTGTGAGTGATTGATGTAATCTTATCTGATGCTGGATGGATTCATCCCTTAAAAAAGGAGGAGATACCACTGAAACAGCATTTCTGCCTGCTCTGAAATTTGTATTTTGCGACTTTTGCCTAAGACATTTTTAGAGTTTATTGGCTCTGTTACATTAGTCATAAAGGTTGTCTCTCTATTGGATACCCAGCAGTGTGCTGATTATTGTTCCCAATTTGGCAGGGTTTTCTCTTCAGGTGTGTCTGTAGAGCTGCTGGTCTCAGCAGAGAGGGAAAAAGGCGACAAAATGTAACTTGGCCAAAAATGTTTTTGCAGCAGCTCTGTTCTGTAGCATCTGTGGCTTTTCATTCAGTGAAAGATGGCAGGCGAAGAACATTTCTATACATTCCAGCATGAGAAAAAAAAATCAATTTTCAGGGAAAATTCTTGCCTTTGGCTGTCTTTTAAGCATTCACCTTGTTGGTGAAGGATTACTCACCTCCTTGGGGGTTTGCTGTGTTTATTCTGCACAGAAGTCGACAAACAGAAAAGCTCCGTTGGGGTGAACTGAAGTTATCCTAAGGAAAAATTTCATTGCATGGACAGTGTAAACTCCCTAAGACTGAAGTAAAGCTGGAAAGGAATCTACAAGTGAATAAAACAAGAAGTTTGGAATTGGATTTGGGGAATCTGGGCTTGGAAATGCCTCAGGTAAGTCTGCTAGGATTTTATTCACTTCTGTAAATAATTTTGCCTCTGTTTAAGAACAAATTGCACCAGCACCAGGAGGGGGGATGTGTAAGAGATTAAAGGATGTATATTTTGTAGGGTCCTGTAGTGTCTGTGGTAGAAGCTGTGGTGCCGCTCTTGGTGCTGTGTTTGTTGAAGCTTCAGCCACGTTGTCTGTGGGTGAGGGAGGATGCCTGGAGAGCAGAACAGCCTTTTATTACTGCAGTGATTCACACTCAGCACACTGAATGACTTTCAGCAGCACAGTGCTTCTGCCTTCCCAACCCTCAGGCTGAGAGTGTCTAGAAGCGAAATTGAGGTCTGGAATTAAATGTAGCAGAAGGCCTTGCTGCCCATTCCCTGCATGCCCAGTCATCCTGCATAATGCTTTTTTTGCCAAATTTCATTTTGTTCTTGAGAGAGAGGTAACAATCTAGATTTAGTTGTCATAAATTTTGCTTCCCTTACAATTTTATATGGAAGTTTTATGAGTTTTAATGGCTTTAAACACAGTCAACACTGCTTTAGTACAAAATGATTTGTATTAGAGAGACTCCCAGATCTTGCCAGTACTGGCCCTCATCTTCTACAAAAGCCAACATATCCCAAAATTTGGCAAACATAAGACTTTCAAAACAACAGGGAAGAACGAAGGAGCAGTGAATGCTCTTGCAGCTCTGTGCTGGCTAGAAATGTATCCTTTGATTGCTCCTGCATGTTGTCAGCTGCTCTTGAAGCATTTTCTGGCTCTGGGGAATGATGTGCTTATCTGTGGTGGTAAAAACCTTCTGAGACAGGGAGGAATGGTGATCCTCTTTGTTGAAGATGAAAATGTGCCTTTTTATATCGTGTTTGAAATGTCTGTCCGTTGTGTTGTAGCCCAGTGTGAGTGGAATGGACCCTCCTTTTGGGGATGCCTTTCGGAGCCACCTGTTTTCAGAGCAGACTCTGATGAGCACGGATCTCCTGGCGAGCAGCTCGGATCCCGACTTCATGTATGAGCTGGTAGGTTACCTGTGTGTGCCCAGAATTTCATCTCCTTGGCTGACACCAGTTCTTATAGGAATAAAGGGCTGTTGGTTCAAGAATGCTGGAAAATTATCCATTATTGCTGGCTGCTGATTAGGGAAGAGCTGGACTGCTTGTCCACCAAGTGTGATGCTTCTACAGCAGGCACTTCTTCAAACACAGTCAAATCCAGCTTCCAGTAGTGCTCCAAGCCCTGTCCAACCCAGCCTTGGACACTTCCAGGGATCCAGGGGCAGCCACAGCTTCTGTGGGCACCCTGTGCCAGGGCTGCCCACCCTCACAAGGAGGACTTTCCCCCTGCTTCCCCCAAGCTGTGAATGCAGGGGGAAGGAAAATAAAAGTTGACTCACAAGCTACTTATGTGAGCATTCCCTTTTTCATTTTCTCTCTGCTTCAAAGGAGAAAGGTCACTCGTGGTCATTAATCGGTCGTGTTAGAATGAGATTTTCCAGGAACTGGTAAACTCAAGCATATTCTGTTAAGCACACAGCTTGACCTAGATTATAGAGATGCCTGTGATGTCTTTCATATTTTAAATATATGGATATTGGTCCTGGTTTAGTTCCTGATGAGCAGATGGATTTGCAATAGCAGGGAAACAGTGTTATAGGAAGAGCTGTGTCTTCAGAAAGACCTGTTGCTGAAGCACACAGGAGTTGAACTTCATTCTGACCTTCAAAAGAAACTTTTATTGTAATTTGAGGTTTCTTCCTATGTCACCACTATCTCATACTTCATTGGAGTTGAGTTGTCCTTACCAGACTAAGTAGAGGAAAGAGATGATGGATACTTTTCTTTATTAACTTTTAACTTATCTTACTGTGCACAGGACAGAGAAATGGACTATCAGCAAAGCTCCAGGGACAACTTGCTTTTCATGGAGGACTGCAAAGACCTTGAGAACTTGGAGTCTTTTACAGATGTCCTGGACAAAGAAGCTGCTTTCACCTCCAAGTGGGAGCAGTGGGATACCTACTGTGAAGACCTAACTAAGTACACTAAATTAACCAGCTGTGACATCTGGGGAACAAAAGAGGTGGATTACCTGGGCCTTGATGACTTTTCAAGCCCATACCAAGATGAAGAGGTGATAAGCAAAACACCCACACTGGCTCAGCTGAACAGCGAGGACTCCCAGCCTGTCTCAGATTCACTCTACTACCCTGATTTGCTCTTTAGTGTAAAACAAAACCCTTTAAACTCTTTGTTGCCTGGCAAAAAGATGGCGAGCAGAGCAGCGGCGCCGGTCTGCTCCTCCAAGAACGTTCAGGCCGAGGCCGCGCTGTCGGACTGTGCCCAGAAGGCCAGCAAGCCTGGCAGCCAGCCTGCTTCCAGTGCACAGATCATGGCCAAGACCAACGTGTACAGCAGCGAGAAGGTGAACCTTCACGTGGAATGTAAAGACTATGTTAAAAAAGCAAAAGTAAAGATCAACCCCTTGCCGCAGAGCAGGCCGGTGCTGAGCCAGGCGCACGCTGACGCAGCCAAGGAAAACACCTGCTACTGTGGGGCTGTAGCAAAGAGACAGGAGAGAAAAGGACTCGAGTCCCCCCATGGTCACAGTACAACTCCTGGTTTGCCTTTTAAAGAGACTCAAGAGCTGCTCCTCAGCCCTCCCCAGGAGAGCCCAGGGCTGGCCGTGGGGGAGAGCAGCCTTTCCGCCAGCGCCTCCGTGTCGGACTCCTCGCAGAAAAAAGAAGAGCACAATTATTCTCTTTTTGTAACAGACACTTTGGGTGAGCAGTCAGTCAAAGCAGAGCCTGAGGAAGAGGAGGAGGATGAGGATGATATTGAAGATGAGGACCACGATGAAGGCTTTGGCAGTGAGCACGAGCTGTCTGAGAACGACGATGAGGAGGAAGATTACGAGGATGATAAGGATGATGACATCAGTGATACCTTCTCAGAACCAGGTACCAGCATGGCTGGGCTTTGGTAACGTGGGGGTTGATGGGTTTGTCCTCTGAGTGGGAAGGAAAGCTTCTGAACTGGTAGTTACAGATGAGCAGCACTGATCTTAAGTTGTGAATTCTCCTCCCACGTTTTCTAAGTGCTTTGCAAAATGCAATTTATTCAAAGTATGCAAAGTCTCTGTTGCCCTATTTCATGAAAAACTGCATAAAGTGTGGTTGTGCAACAAAAATAATAAGTACAGGAAGCCCAGCTGTAGCCTGAGGTTCGAGCAGCTGCCCGAAGTGTGCCTTTCTTTTTTATTGTAGCTCTCTAGTAGGGTGTGCAGAGCTTCCTAGCACTTCTTGTATCTCTGAATTTATCCAGAGTTGGATCTGTCAGGATGAAATCGCATCCTGAGTGAAATTACTTCATAATTATTTAAGCCCTATTTTCAGGTACAGCTTTTCCACAGAATCCAAAGAATGACTGAAATTAATAGAAAAATTTCTAGGTGGTTTTCAGCAGTAACAGTGGGGCTTCAGAGGATACTGAATTCCTCTCTCCTGCCTTTAAAAATGGAGTTCTAAGAGCAGGAATAAGAACTAACCTTCACCTAGAAGGTAACAAAACAGTAACACTGTGTAAAAATAAAATCTGCACAGGATTGTAACCAAGTATTAATTTGACTTCAGAAAGTATTACAATATTCACATCTTATAAATGCCCTGTAGTAGAGAATAAAAATTAAAGTATTCAGACATTTGGCAATATGAAACTTCAGGGGAATAAAGCAGCTGAAATTTTTCCTTGTTGAGAACAGCAGCTTCCCTAAAGCTTGTCAGTGTTTGTCATAATGAACTCTCAGATGAAATTATTTTCTAATTAGATTTCCTGCGTTGGCATTAAACTCGTTAAGCATTCTGCCCTTTATGCTACTTTCACATGCACACAACACATTTTTATTAACATTTTGAAGCTTTTTCCTCCCTTCTGGAGTGAACTCCCTCTGCTTTCTGGGGCCCTGAGCAGCTGTTCCAGCTCTGCAGCCCATGGGGGATGTGTTGCACTGGGAGCCTGGGATCCCTGAAAAAGAGAGCTTGTGTTAAATGCTGTGGGTGGAATGAATTAATTATTGATTTTACTGACCAGCAATCCACATTCTGCAGCAGTCGCTGAGGATCTGAGTTTATCCAAGCTTCCATGAATGAAGCCTAAAACCATTCACCTCAAATGTGGTGATATTAAAAATTTTATCATATATTTTGACTGTTTTAGGAAATAATATATCCAGGTATTCTAATTCTGTCACTCTTGTATTTTGTGTTGCTTTTTTACCTCTAAAGGTAAATGCTATGGGTAAAGTATCTAAAAATAGACACAGCACAGAAAAATTAAACCTTCCACAGGTCTGAAAGCAAAATCAGTTGGTATTTTAAGTGAGGATATAATTTACTGAAAGGACAGAAATCTGCAAGTTATTGCTGACCTTCTGTTGGCTTTTTATACATCATCTGCTTTTGGTTATTCTTCATGTATCCTTTTAGAGTGAATGAAATGCTTTCTTCAGGTGTTATCTGAGAAAATATTTAGTTATAGTGAAGGAGAAACAGCTAAAAATATGACTGGCTCTCAGGCAAGTTTGGACAACAGTGTTTTTATTATCACCATGACACAGATTTAGCAATTTTGGTCCCCCGCAAAGGTAGTTTATTATGGGAATTACCAGCCCAGGCCTTTCCTAGCATTATATGTGGTGGTTTTGCTATTATTGAGTTTATTTTTCCTATCTCATTTAGTAGAAAGACTTCTAAATCACTTTTCCTGCCATTGAGTTGTCAGGAGATTCCAGAAATGGGAAATGCAGCAATTTATTCCATTGTCAGTAGCACTGGAGAAGAAATGAGTGGAAAAGTGCTCCTAGAGACACAGATTGTTTTAAGAAGCTGCATTAGGTCAGTCTGAGCAGCTGGAGCATCAGCTGGGGGAAAACCCTGGGACTGATTTGCCAGAAGCCTCTGTGGTGAAGAGGAGGAGTTCTCTGGGGTTGTTTCACTGGGGCTATTTTTGGGTTTCACCTGGTGAGATGCAGGAGTCACGTTCTCTGTTCTGCTTCATTTAACCCCGGTGAATTAAACCCAAACCACAGGGAGGGATGTGAAGGAGCACTTTTAGGAGGGGGTTGTGAAGGGCTTCAGAGTTAATCACAAGAACCCTTTCAGATTTCTTAGAAGCCTGCCCTGCTGTGTGATCTTTGCTAAGAGGAGGAATAAATCCAGTGCAGAGCAGCTGAACAAGTTTGTGTGTTAGGTTAGGACACTGCACTGGGTTCTTTTATGTAACTTTATAATGGCAGCAGGTCAGTGTTGGGCTTGCAAGGCAGGATGTATTAAGTTAATGTAATTGAACTTGCTAACTTAATTACAGTTTGAATAAGCAAACAGGAAGTCCTGATTTTAACCTTGTTGTACATTTGTACCCTTCAGCTCTTACAGAGATTTGTTTTCATTGGTTGGATTAATTCTGTGTTATCATGAAGATGGGTTCAATTTATGTATTTCTGTAGAATGAGTTACACAGCTTTTTTTAGGTGGAAAGTCAGTGGGCTTTTTGAGTGCATTTTGATACTTATGTCAAACAGCCTTGAGTAAAATGGAGCTACAGTTACAAATATTTATGGTATTCAAAACTGTATTTAATATAAATTGTCAATAATTTTGGCTATACAGCACAAATGTTTTAAAAAGCATGTTTCATTGTTTGGTTTGCCTTTAAAATCCTGCCTTTCCAACAAACCAGAGAACCCAAGTAAGTGAATTGATGAAATTGTGAGAAACAGAACTTCAGGATGGATTTCATCTTTCTGCATACCTGACTTGTATTCCTGCTTTGGGTTATGATGTGAGAGTCAAACCAAAGCAAGAAAGTTTGTTTTTCCTCTTTCAACTGCTTTTTCAAGTGCAAACAGACTAATTGAATGGAGTGTTTTAAAAGGAAGAAAGTGTTCTTTGTGCTGCTGAAAGATGAAGCAGAGCTGAAGCATACGGGGTCAAGGCTTGCTAAGCCTGCAGTCCATGCATGGGTGGCTTTTCCTTTAGCTCCATCATAGTATGTGATATTTAGAAATGTTCCTTTTTTGAGTAAATGTAAACTATTATTTAGCATTTTAGCACAAAAGGTCATGCAGTGGTTTGAGATTTTTTTTTTTACCTTAGTATAGATTATTTTCTGTAGCATATATGGGGTTTGAAAACCTGTGGTTTGGGTTTACACAGTTATGGTAAAATATTTTTGTGATGTGAGCAGTGGCATTACAATTTCCATGTCCTTCATGAGCAATTATCAAATGCATCATAATTCACCTCTAAAATACTGTACAGCCTTACTGAGGGTCATTTCTTCCCATCCCCCTAAAGAGGATGAAGAGGTTGAACAGTGGGTGCAGATCCCTCCAGCTTAGATGGTCCTTTGGTCACTGTCCTGATAACAGAGCCCCTTTCTCCAGCCTAGGAGGGTTCAGTGCTTGGATTTATTCCCTTTGGTCACTGTCCTGATAACAGAGCCCCTTTCTCCAGCCTAGGAGGGTTCAGTGCTTGGATTTATTCCCTGCAGGTCTTTGGAGCCAAGGAGTGGCAGGAGTTGGACTCGATCCTGTGGACTTCTTCCAGCTCAGTGTTCTATAACTGAATAACTTTTTCTTTATTGTCTTTTGCTAATCCATCTTTATTTAATCTGCTTCTCTTTCCATGCTTTTTGTCAAATGTGGAGGTGAGTTAGGATTGTGTTCCTGCCAATTCATGGAGGAAATTGTCAGGATGGGTGAACATGGTCCAACATCTGCTGTCTGTACTTGGCACTGCTGGGTTTGTGGAGGACTACAACTTAGGGGGTCAAAGAACATAAAGGGACTTTAAATGCATAAATAATTTTGGTTTTTTCAACTAATGAAGCCCCATCAGTGGCTCAGTGTCTATCCTGGACTTCAGGCAAGTACCCAGGAGCAGTTGATGCTGGGAACCAAGTGTTAGATAATGCAAACCAGAGCTGGCTGTGGTTTTGCTCTCAATGTGAATCCTCAGTTTGCTGCTAAAGGGCTACAAACAATTCTGTCACCAGCATATAAACAACCCCCTGCATCCTTTTAGGGTATGAAAACGATTCTGTGGAGGATTTAAAAGAAATGACTGCAATATCCTCTCGGAAAAGAGGCAAGCGGAGATACTTCTGGGAGTACAGCGAGCAGCTGACGCCGTCCCAGCAGGAGAGGATGCTGAGGCCATCCGAGTGGGACAGGGACACCCTGCCCAGCAACATGTACCAGAAGAATGGGCTCCACCATGGTAAGAAATCCTCAGCCTGGTCACAAATGGCTGTCTCCTCCTTGTGACACCTTCAGCAGCCAAAATCCCCTCCTTGCAAGTGCTGAGAAGTCGTGTTTTGGCTATGAAAACTCAAGCACTGTAGGTCTGTTACCCAGCAGTGCCCAGGGAAGGCACAGTGAGCACACAGTAGGGACTTTCAGTGTGGTTTCTTCCAGAGGAGTGTGGATGAATTGAGAATTGTGACTTCCAAGGGCTCTCAGTGGAAACCCCAAGAGTTCAAAGCTTTCTCAGCGGGATACTGTAAATATTGGATGGTGACTTGACAGATGTTTGCTGCTCGTGGCTGTTCTGTCAGTGCTGCCTGTGTTAGCAGGAGGCTGGGAGGGCTCTGGGGTGCCAAGTTCAGGGGACTGGTATGAGCTGAGGACAAACACTAAGGCACAACTGTCTCTCTCTGCTCCTCCCTCCTTGTTTTCCCCCTGTGAATGCAGCACAGTGAAGCAGTTACTCCTCTGGGAATAAACTATTTCCTTAAGATGCCCTCTTAGAAACTTAAACTAGTTGCTCTAATAACTGATTTATTCCCAGTGAGCAATTACTGCACCACAAACATGATTAACATCACCCAAAACAAACCACTCTTAGGGGTATTTTTGTTTTCTTCTCACAGGACCTCTTTTAGGCTGCTCCATTTGATTTTTGGCTTTGAAGGAGCAATTTAAACCAACTTCCCTGGTTATAAGGTTAATGTTCCCTTAGAGTTGAAAATTACTGCCTTTAACATGGCAGTTTGCCTTCTCTTAAATCAGAAGGTTTTTTGTTGTTGTTGTTCTGTTACCTGTAGATTTATTCAGGGAAGAAAGCATTTCTTTCTTTGGATGTCCTTAGTTTTTAAAAGTTTCTTTATCCTGTAGTGAAATATCAGTACCTAAAGTTCTGTCACTGCTCTTTCTCATGATGGAGCTCTGAGCAGCCTGGTCTAGTGGAAGGTGTCCTTGCCCATGGCCAGGGGGAGAAAAAGAAGAGTTTTAGGTCCCTTCCAACCCAAACCATTCTGTGATTCCATTATTTTATATTTGTTATCCAACACCAAATAACCAAAACATGCTCTGAGGACTTAAACCTACCAGACACTTGGCCACTTGACCTTTAAGTCAAGTGCAAAACCAGGCCTTAAATCGCTTAAAATACATATAATAAAAGGGATTAACTGGCATTTATGTGGATCATTTCATCTCAGCATTGCTGAAGATTTTTTCAACACCAGGCCACAGCACTCTTTCTTAAAACAGGACTTTGACAATAAGATTATTTAGGAGTTTAATCCACTGGAGTGTGCAGGAGGATATTTTGGCTTCATATGAGTTAACAGGTTTACAGCTGGAGCAAAACAACAGGGTTTGAACTTGTGACATACATTTTTCAGCAGAATTGTGTGTATGCTCTCTGTCACATCCAGTGGCCTTGCCAGCAGTATTTGCTCTTATCTGATCTGGATAGAATATGAATTGTACAAAGCTCTTTATGTGGAAATGCTCTTTCTATTGTGAGAGGCCACAGGGATCACCTGATTCCGGCCCATTCTTCTGCAACGAACAAAGGAACTTAAACTGCACCCAAAAAATGCTATTTTAGAGTGTTTTCTCACAGGTTTGTGTATGTATTATGTCACTTCCCTACCCATTTTTCTACATGTTTAAAACAGGAAAATATGCAGCAAAGAAGTCACGGAGGACTGATGTAGAAGACCTGACTCCCAACCCCAGAAAACTCCTCCAGATTGGTAACGAGCTGAGGAAGCTGAATAAGGTGATCAGTGACCTGACACCTGTCAGTGAACTTCCCTTAACTGCCAGACCCAGGTCAAGGAAAGAAAAGAACAAGTTGGCTTCCAGGTATGCATTGGGTAGAGTTGCAGGGATGAGAAAATTTGGATTGCTACAAGTAAATGATGAAAATCTAAACAATTTTTAGTAGTTTAGCCTACAGAAATTCTGCTTCATGTGACAGCTCTTGCAATGGGAATTACCAGTTTATCAATCAAATGGGAATTACCAATTTATCAAAAAGGAGAGCAGCTGGCACATTGGGAGCTGTGGTTTGGCTGTTTTCTAGATAAGGATGTGTTTCCACTGGAATTGGCTTCCTTAGCTGTGGGGCAAACAGCTGGGACAGTGGCAAATTACACAAGTGTTGAATGTGAACAGATGCAGGTAGCAGAGTTTCAGTGCAGGTGAATGAGGAGGGGTGAGTTTGTGCATCACAGCTCTGGGAGTGTTGGTTGATGAGTTCATGTGGTTCTTACTGCTCTGGAATTTCTGGTAGTGCTCTAATTCTTCCTCTCTTCTTGCCATAGGGCTTGTAGGCTAAAAAAGAAAGCCCAGTATGAAGCCAATAAAGTTAAACTCTGGGGTCTCAACACGGAATATGGTAAATACAACTCTTCACATCTTAATTTTTCTTTTGTTTGGGCAAACCCAGCAATTCTGTCCTACAAAACCAGCCCATTGAATAAAGTGAATGTAAATTGGGTTACCTGCAATGTTGAGCTACTTTGCAGGTGTAAATTATGTAAATGTATGCATGTGCTGTAAATATTACTGAAAATATTGGTAATAGTTGATGTAAACTATTGCATTCAATTTTACAGTAAGTGTGATGTGACACCTGTGACACAGATAGCCGTGTGTGGGTAACTGTGAATCCCTTCCAGGAGAATGTGATGTAAAGCTAATGCTTTGTTGTTTTTGATTGCAGATAATTTACTATTTGTCATCAACTCCATTAAACAAGAAATAGTTAATCGGGTGCAGGTACCTAAAGATGACAGAGGAATCAACATGGAACAAAAGTTGAACATACTTATTAAAGACACTCTTGGTAAGCAGTGAACTTGGTGTATTCACCTGGGTATGAAGATACAGAATCATAAATACCCTGAGGAGCACCAAAGCTCATCCCATTCCACCAGAGACACCTTCCACTATCACGGGTGGCTCCAGGTTCCATCCAGCCTGGCCTTGGACACTGCCAAGGATCCAGGGGCAGTCACAGCTTCTCTGGGCACCCTGTGCCAGGGCCTGCCCACCCTGCCAGGGAGCAACTCCTTCCCAATATCCCACCTAACTCTGCTCTCTGGCAGTGTGAAGCCATTCCCTGTATCCTGCCCTCCATCCCTTGTAAAAATTCTCTCTCCATCTTGTCTTATTCGGACACTGTGAAGCCACAATGAGGTCACTCCAAAGCTTCTCCTCTGCAGGCTGAACAATCCCAATTCTCCCAGCCTTTCCTCCCAGCCCTCTGATCATCCTGGTGTCTTCTCTGGGCTTTCTATATTTGATTGCAAACAATTTCTGATCTGGAGAAATGAACGAACCCTTTCCTGATTCCGTTTGTCCCAACCAAAGTGCCCCTGGTTTTGTGTCACATGTAGTGATGCCTTGGGAAGGCTGGCCTAGAACAGAGGCTGGGCAGAGCTAAGGAATAAAGCAGGGATTTATTAAAAGGATCTCCTCAATGGATCCACCTTGGGCAGCACAAGAGCCCAGCCAGGGCTGCACCCAAGATGAACCAAAATGGTCACAAAAATGAATGACTGGTCACGAGGTCTCACTTTTATAAGTTCTGCTCCATTTGCATATTGGAGTTAATTGCCCAATTATAGCTTTAGCTTATGAAGTCCCATCCTGCTTGTTTTTCTCTCTTCAGCCCACATTGTTTGTGCTCTTGGGCCTGTGATTTGGATCATTTGTCTTTGGTCCCCAGCTGGAGAAGGAATTGTTTTGTCCCCCTGCTCTGTGCAAGAACTCACCATGCCCTGATATGAAGCTCAGACCCACCCACTAAAGCAGCACAGAGTGTGAAAAATAGAAAAGCCAAAACCTGAGGCATCAGTAGGAATGTACCATGAGCAGTGACCTGAGAGCAGCTTCTCTTCCCTCCCTTTCAGGACTTCCTGTAGCTGGGCAGACGTCGGAGTTTGTGAACCAGGTGCTGGAGAAGACAGCGGAGGGAGACCCCACGGGCGGCCTGGTGGGGCTCCGGATACCCATGGCCAAGGTGTAGGGCAGGACTGGAGCTGTCTGGGGCAGGTTCTGCCTGTGCTGCCGAGTTCCTCCTTGTAAATGGCATCCTGGTCTGCATGTCAGCTTAGCATTCTGTCAACACTCACCTGTAGGTTCCATTGCTTTCAATAACAGTGTAGGAAAACAAATCACGGCGTGGTAGGAAATGCCGCGGAGCATTTTTGGACCATAAACCAGATAGTTTCAAAGCTGCTTCAAGCTCAAGGGCAGAAATGAGAGTTCTCTTTCAAATGATCTAGGACCAGAATATATCACTTTTGTTTTCAAAGCAAAAACATGGGTTTGCTAGAGAAAATATTTTAGCATTTGCCAGACATTGTGACAGGTTTATGGTCCAAGTGAAGTAAGAGGAAGCATTTTTTTGGTGAAGCTGTCAATGTAGGAAGTTTTTTGTTATTTTTTAAATTTTATTTTTAAATAATTGGATTTTCTTTTCTTGTTCTTTAAAAAAAAACAGTAAGCTTTCTTTGCAACCATTAACTTGTACATAGCACACGCAGCATTAGAGCTAGTGTGCCATATAAGACTTTAATTTTCTGAGCTTAATAGAGTATTTAAATGTCTGTGCAAGCAAGAGAAAAAAAAAGTATATTCTTTGTGCCTTGTATTTTGTGAGGAGAGCTATCAGTATAAGCTGGTAAAGTTTTGTATGAAGAAAACCCTGAGGGGCAAAACCGAGCTGTATAGATGGCGAGATTTTAGGTTTTAATGTATTTGTTCCAGCTCTTAAAAATTTTTGAATGTATATAGGAATATGTTGAAAATGTAGATATATGCCACAGAGTCTATGTATTGTATAAAAGATGGCTCTAGAAAACTCAATTTCGGTACTTTGGCCGGAAGAAAACAAATACTTGCACATTAATGCGATTGTTTATTTTTGTACCAAAGACAAATGCAACTGATATGGCGAACTGCCAGTCTAAGTAAAGTTTTGCACAGCTTATATGATACTGTACTGAATGTAAAAACAAAAGAAAAAAAGAAAAAAAATTAAAGGTCAGGGTTAGGGATCTTACTGAACTGTGAATTTTTTTGTTTGGGTCCAATTATCTACAGAAGGAGCATTCATACATAACAATATTATTTTGCTGTTCTTGTAGTTCGCTTCCATGGTAGATAAGTTGGTGGCCGTCTTGGAGTCTTTAAATCTTTTTTCTCTGCACTTACTGTAGGAGATTTTAATATATTTGGATTTTAGTAAGCTATTGGTAAAATAGTTTTCGACTTTGAGAATTTAAAAAAAAAAGTATTTAGCTTGTTGTAGTATACTTCCACCAAACAACCAAAATAAAATTATTTTTATTGTAACGTGTATATATGTAAAGAGAAAAAAAAAGAGCTACAAATATCTAATTCCTTAGTTGCCACTTTTCCAGTTGATGTATTATTATGCATGTGATGTTTCCAAGGATCAACACAGGCTTCAAACAAAACAAAAAAATTTATAGACTTTTATATTTTTGTACAGGTATTTCGAAACTAGCTTCTTCAGACTTATATGTGACTTATTCTTGTTAATTCAGTAGTTTCTATGATTGAAGAATATTAACACAAAGTTCTTATTTGCTCTTCTGCTAATAAGAGTTGGCTTTGTAGTCAGTGTTAACGTACAGATTAAAAGCTTTAGCCTTTGATGAGAAAGTCCTTTATCTCAAGGCAAGATCATTCTCTGGTTTCATGGACCCCCCTCCTTTTCCTCCCTGTTCTTTCTCTCCCTATTTAAAGATGACAAAACACTGTTTACTGAAAATAGAAATACCAAATATTTTCAAATGTAGCTGCTGAAAAAAAGAAAATGCAAAAGTCCATGAAGGCTTTTCCCCCACTCCCTTTGGGGAACTTCTCCACTTCGTTTCTAGTTTGTCTGAGTTTGTTTGTACTGTGATTCCTTTTTGTTTATAAGTAGATTATTTTTATATCCGAGCTTGTACTATAAGAGAAAAAAAGCCTGAATTGGTAACAGTGCAGGAGGAGTGGCTGCTGAAAGTGCTGGCCCTGCCACACTCACAGCTTCCTTTGTACCTAAATATTTTGGAAAACTCAAAAGGGAGGAAGAGGCCAAAATACCACTACTGAGCTGTACAGAAAGTCTTTCCTACAAGAGACTGAACAAATACCCAGGGCAATTCAGGCAAAACTTTGTAAATCCACTTAAGGCTTGCAAAATCTGAGTGGAATGTGGGTGTTTTTCTTTGTGGTGGTGGTGGTGGTGGTGTTCAGGTGAGGTGAGAGTTGGCTGCTGCTTTCCACAGTGGGTCTGGTGTATTCCTCTTGTTCTCGTGGAGCTGCCCAGGGCCCCAAAAACCCTGAGAGAGAATGTGTCCTGTGAGGTGCAGGCTGTGCCTGAGCAGGGCTGGAGCTGCCTAGGGCCCCAAAAACTCTGATATAAATGTGTCCTGTGAGGTGCAGGCTGTGCCTGAGCAGGGCTGGAGCTGCCCAGGGCCCCAAAAACTCTGATCTAGAACGTGTCCTGTGAGGTGCAGGCTGTGCCTGAGCAGGGCTGGCACACAGAGCTCGTCCCTGTGCTCCATCCAAACCCTGCAGGCGAGGCAGCATCTGAGCATTGAGAGAGAGCGGTTTCAAATCAGGTAAAAACTTCTGGGACAAATTCAACTGACAAGGCATATAAAAGCCCCCTCACTTTTTTTGCTGCCTGGGAATCCTGGGCAACACACAACTTTATAGCTTTTTATTTTTGTCTGAAAACCAGACTATGATTTTGGTCTCGCATTTCAAAGTAGACTTTGAATCTTTAGTGAGTTCCATACCCTTGCATTTCAGTGTTTCCTATGTATTATTTTAAGTTAAAGCTTTGAAATAGTTGAGCTTTTTAATGTTGACACTTTATTTTGTAACTATTTATATGTATGTATATCTTAGAAAAGCACTTTGTTTAAAAAAAAAAAGAGGAAAAAGATAAAAAAAAAAAGAAACTGCGTTTTATATGATTCCTGCCACTTGCTGCTAACTCTGGGCTGGTCAGAATGCTGCAGCGATACTTGAGATAAATAAAACCTGGCAGTAAAATGTAGAGTAAAGATAAGACCTTTTGCTGGTTTAACTTTATCATAAAGGTGACATAGGCAAGCTGTGCAGCTTTACATTTTAACCAGGGGACTCTGTGGCATTTAAACCGTCTAGAAATGGTTGTACTTTAATGCCAGTAACAATCTGCTTCCTCTAGTGTCATTAAAATATATACATTTAGTGTATACTTATCACAAACAAAAATCTTATAAGGGTATAAAAACCAACAAATGTACATGTTCTGTTTTTTGGCAATTGTGGCATGCGTTTTGGGGTGATCTTTAGAGAAGACCATTTTCTAAAGATTTTCAGTGTTCATACATAGTATGTGGATCTTAACGAAATCCTGGGTTTTTTGTTTGTTTTTGATTGTAGGCATTGTGAATATTCACTTTTAATCCTATATCCAAAAACAATGATCTATTTTTTGATTTAATACAACCAGAAAGCTCTTCCTTTTTCTGATACACTGGATTCTCTAGGATTTGTTTCCATATGAAAAGCATGCTGTCATAACTGCTCTTGTCGAGATCTCGTCAGTCTGAACGTAGGTGCCACACTTGGAATCGATGGGCTGCTTGTTCTGCTGTACCATGTATGACCCTCGTCCTTCCCCTCCCTCCATGACAGATGATGATGTGGCTTTATATTGTGCCTTACTTGTACATCTAGAACTAAGTGTTTCTCATTCCCTCTGAACTCGTCAAAGCTTCTGAGGTGGAGTCAGAGCTGACTGAAGCGTGCTGGAGCGAGTGCAGACAGGGCTGATTTCAGTTTCTCTCACCAGTCCTTTCGTATTTCTATGGAAGACCAGTTTTTGAATGGCCTTGCAAAACGTGGGGGTGCTCCTGAAGGGTGTTTTTAAACCCAAAGCCCCTTTTGCTAATGCTTTTATGGTTTATTGAACACATTTACTGATATTTGGTGAGTGCTTTATGTTTTTTGGGATGAGAGAGACTTACTACTAAAGCTGTGTTTACGTGTGGATGGGCTGGATTGTCTTATCATACCAGTTGAAATCATTGTGATTTAATAAAGTTGTATTGCTGTAAAGCTGATGTGAGAGTCAGGCTCAGCTGTGTTCAGTTCCTAATTTATAGGTTGACTATTTTCCATACTAAGAGGGCCAGGGAAAAGTTGGGTTTTTAAAAAAAAAAGCAAACAAACAAAAAACCAACCTAAAATGGATGAAAGGTCTTTTAACTAACCTAAAAGCAAACAGACACTTTGGAAATGTAGAGGTGTCAGTTTAAAATTTATTTTTAAAAGACACCCCCCAATATTTATCTAATATTTATCTTGCCTTCATTAATGAAACAGCTTATTCACAGCTATAATGACTGGATGTGCTTTTCCATAAATCATTTAAACATAGCTATTTTATTTTAAAGAAGCTCTGAAGGGTTTTACTGGGAGAATTTCCAAGGGTTGTATCCAAGCTGCCTCCAGCAGAAATAGCAAATGCAGTCCTGTTCCTCAAACGTGCTTGCTTGTCTTCCTGAAATTCTGCTGAGGCACAACCCAGTTCTGGACCGTGAATGTCAGGATCTGTATTTGGCCTTGAGACCCGAGTTTCAAGAGTGCATCTAAGCATGATTTGGTTTTCCTTTGAAGGTGGAATCACCTAGTGGAGTGTGCTGCTAGATGTGGTCTTGGCTTGCTGACACAGCCTTGCACACAGCTGAGGTTTATTTTGTTTACCCCGGGGATCGTGTGAAGTACATTTCAAACAGTTGCTGCCTCGGTGACTGATCCTTCTTGTAACTGTATTAAGGGCATTAGTCTGTTGAGAAAACACCACTCTTGAATATCTCCCAATGTAAATTGGGATTCTTCGATGTCATTAATCAAAGATGGCACTTTCAGACTGTATCTTCTTTGCAGCAAACAAAAATCTCTGTCTTTCTCCAACTTGCATTTCACGATATGCCATGTTTTCCCTCCAGTGCTTCAAGAAGGTGTCTTTGCACTCTGGATATAATCCTCAGCCTCTTAGACATCCGTGAACTTCCATGGGAGCAAATACTGACTCTGAATTTATTGTTTTTTAACAAGCTGTGGAGCTAAAAGTGGAACCAGAGCTCTTTGAAGCCACACTTGCATTTTTTTTTTGTTTCCCCCATTTAAAAAAATCCAAAATTCCAAGCTTTTTATATAATATCATTGTTCAGAGTTTTTCTGGAGTTTAAAGTAATTTTTAGTTGGGTATATTTAAAGTCAAATTTGGGTGACTTAACTACTGCTGTAGAGAAAACTTATGGATTAGATTTGATATTGGAAAAAGCACATCCCACCCTATCTTGTATTTATCTTGTAATGATGGATATTCATGCATTTTGATTGGAATCATCTACCTTACCAGAATATTATATATCCAAGGAAAACTTCTTGCTCAGTATTTGTAGTTGGGTGAACTCTTAAGGCTGATGGCACATGAAGATGCAAAAAAAAAAAAAAAAAAGGCATTTTAAACAAAACATGGCATCCTGTTCTGCCTGTGCTTGGGGTCATGATTGTAATGCTGTCCTTGATATTCTATAATCAACTTCCAACTGGAGCTCAGTAAAACATACTGAAAGTCTTGTCTCTGTTAGAAAATAAATTTACCTTGTTCAAAGCATGATCTGTTAAGAGTTGCAATGTTAAATGTTGGTTAATAGTTGTGCAGTTTTTATTTTTTTGAAAAGAGGCACAATTAAACTATTGACTTTGTTTACTCTGTCACCCTTGATCCCTAGCACTTCTATTCAGATACAAATTCATCAATGTATGCAACATCCTTTGTAATTTAAAATAAAAATTGTGGAGGAAATACTGTCTGGAATCATTGTGTGTGTGGAATGATAGGGAGTGGCTTCTGCTGCCTTGAACTTAGTCCTAAGTCTCCTGGTATTTCCAGGAAGTTTCCTTTGGAATGGATGACAGGTGGGTAAGGAAAATCTGTTTTTTCCTTCCTCATGCTCAGAGCTGCCTGGCAGCACTGCTGGGTCGCTGGGGACATCTGGAGAACCTGGTTAGTGCCTGGGAAGCTGCTCCTGCAGTCCTGTGGGTCTGGGGGCACCGGGAGAAGCGAAGGGCATTGCTGTGGTGAGCATTTCTCTCTGTACACCTCTATGAAAAATCCTGAGGGAGAGAAATGTGCTTCCCATTGCCTTGCTTCTCATTCTGGGGGTGCAGAGCTTGTGTTCCCCACCCTGCTCCTGCCCAGAGCCGGCCTGGCCTGTCCAGGAACCCGAGGAGGCTCTTGGATGTAAAGCTGGAACTTCTCCAGGGGAATCTTCTGGTTCTGCACAGCTCCTGCCAGGAGGGGACAGCCGGGAATTCGGGCTCTGCTCCAGGAACGGCCTCAGGGTGGGCCAGGACAGGCTCAGGGTGGGCATCAGCAGGAATTTCCCCATGGAAAGGTGCTCAGGCACTGGAACTGCCCAGGGAGGTTTGGATCCCCATCCCTGGAGTGTCCCAGGAAGGGCTGGAGGTGGCACTGGGTGCTCTGGGCTGGGGACAGGGTGGGGATGGGGCACAGGTGGGACTCGGTGGGTTTCGGAGATGTTTTATAACCTCGGTGATCCTGGAATTCTGCTGTTCATCCATCCCCATGGAGCTGCAGCACACTCCCAGCGATGGGACGGGACGGGACGGGACGGGACGGGACGGGACGGGACGGGACGGGACGGGACGGGACGGGATGGGGCGGGATCGGGTCAGGTCAGATCGGGTCGGGTCGGATCGATCGGATCGGATCGGATCGAGTCGGGTCAATCGGATCGGCTCGGCTCGGACCGGACCCGCCCGGCCCCGCCACGTCCCCTCCGCCCGCGCGTCCCCTCCCGCCGCCCGCAGGGGGCGCCCGGCCCTGCCCGGCCCGGCCAAGATGGCGGCGGCGGCGGCTGCGGCGGTGCCGCTGCGGGTCTGTCACCAGGAGATCGTCAAGTTCGACCTGGAGATCAAAGCGGCCGTGCAGGTACCGCCGCCCGCCCCGGGACAGCCCGGCACGGCCGCGGGGCGAGCCGGGCGCGCGCTGACCGCGCCCTTGTGTTCCAGGACATCCGGGACTGCCCGGGGCCGCTCAGCGCCCTCACGGAGCTCAACGCCGCCGTGAAGGAGAAGTTCCGACAGCTCCGCGGCCGCATCCAGGTGAGGCCCGGCCGGGGCTGCTGAGGGCTCCGAGCTGTGCTCCGGGCCCCCGGCTGTGGCTTTGGGCCGGAGCATCCCGGCTGTGGGTTCCTGCCGGGCTTTGGGGGATCCCGGCCTTGGGTTTGGGGGCCCCGGCTGAGATTTGGGGAGTCGCAGTCCTGGGTTGGCGTTTATCAGCTAAATCTGCTCCGGGGCTGGGTTGTGTGGGTGGCTGGTGAGGTTGTGGTGTTTGTCTGTCCGCCGAAGGAGCTGGAGCAGATGGCGAAGGAGCAGGACAAGGAGTCGGAGAAGCAAGCCTTGCTGCGGGAGGTGGAGAGCCACAAGAAGCAAATGCTCAGGTGGGTCTGGCAGCGGGGGCTGCTCCCCAGAGCTCGGCTGCCTTTGGGGCAGCCTCTCTCAGGCCGGTCTGGAAGCCCAGTCAGGGACAGAACGGGCATAACTAACTCCCTTCTCCTGCCCTGACTTCCTAACTCTGCTCTGTCCCTTCGAGCTCAAAGAAGGTGTCTTAGGAGTCTGTTGTTTGACAGCTGGCACAGTTTTCTTCTTCCCTTGGTTCTTAAATGCTACACTGAGGAGTGGGAATGTCACGATAGAATGTTTTTGTTGTGTGTAGGAATAGAGAAAGTGAGGAGCTGAGGGAGCTGGGAAGGGGCTCAGCCTGGAGAAAAGGAGGCTCAGGAGGGACCTTGTGGCTCTGCACAGCTCCTGACAGGAGGGGACAGCCGGGGGGACACCAGGATGAGAGGGAACAGCCTCAGGCTGGGCCAGGGCAGGCTCAGGGTGGGCATCAGCAGGAATTTCCCCATGGAAAGGGAGCTCAGGCACTGGAACTGCCCAGGGAGGTTTGGATCCCCATCCCTGGAGTGTTCCAGGAAGGGCTGGAGGTAGCACTGGGTGCTCTGGGCTGGGGGCAAGGTGGGGATAGGGCACAGCTGGGACTTGATGGTGTTGGAAGTATTTTCCAGCCCAAGTATTTCTTGGATTCTGAGGGCCCCTGCACCACTTACAGTGGTGGCTGCTTTGTGAAAACTGTCTGTGCTTGCAAGGTGTTCCCATCACATTACAACACTCTGCTTTTGTGATTTCAGCAACCAGGCAGCCTGGAGAAAGGCAAATCTGGCCTGCAAAATTGCTATTGACAACTCTGAGAAAGATCAGCTGCTGCAGGGACGAGACGTCTTAAGACAAAGGTATTGGAGTGTCCCACTGTACCATGGGATTTAAACAGTGTCTCCTATATTCACTCATTTTAAATGGAAGTGACATCCTATTTTTAATTTATTTAATTATATCACGTGTAGCTTTTCTTTTATGAGTGCATTTCTCATTTCTAGAGATTTGGGCTGTTAAGGATAGTGATGAATTCAGGTTCTCTTGTCATTGGCATGTCTAAGCAGAAAAGGGGATAAATTAACCTTCATAGCTTTACATATTGTCTTTCACATTAATTCCAGATAGGTTCTACACAAGAACTGGTCATTATCCAGGCTGTTTTCACATCCAGAACTGGGTGTGAGTGTGTGCAGGCTGTGTATTGTATTGAAAGCAACAGCTGGGATATTCAGGATGATAAAATGGGATTTGTGTTGGTGCTCCCATAATGGAGTTACACAGTCCTGGGAGGGCAAGTGGTGAACTACAGGCCCCTGTGAGATTCTGAGCTGTTATTTGGGCTCGAGACTTTCTTATCTAAAACATTTTTTATTGTTTAGTGAAAATAATCTGAATTTCTCATGCAGTGAAAACCAGTTGTGTCTTTTGTACCCTGCAGAGATCTTTAGTGCCAAGTATTGGTCTTACCTCCCTATCAGCAGCATTTTCCCAGAGCATCCAAAAAAATTATTTTACTTCTTCCTGCTTTTCTTTTTTCCTCTTTTCAGGAAGACCACAAAGGAAAGTCTGGCAGAGAGTGCAAGCAACATCACAGAGAGCCTGATGGGCATCAGCAGGATGATGTCCCAGCAGGTGCAGCAGAGCGAGGAGACTGTGCAGACCTTAGGTACAGCTGGAATTTGGGCATGGAGGGGGTGATGGAAGCACCTTTGGTCAGCTCTGTCAGCCTGGGGAGAGGAGCAGAGTAGGAGAATGTGCTACAGTGGTGATGAAAGGACTGGCCAGCAGAACTCCTCTAACAGCTGGACATGAACAGGAAATATCAGTGTGCTTTGTGTGGAGTTTCTGTTTCATGATCATGAGAAGCAGAAGGGGTCAGGATGAGGTTGAGTTTCATGTAAAAGCAAACCGAGCTCACGCAGTGCCCAGAGTGTGTGTGGTGTTACTCTGTGCCACTGTCCTGGCACGGATTTGGGGACAGCAGAGGAAACAAAAGCATGGATACAAATCCCTGCATGGAGGAAGGAGTGTCTGGAGAGCTGCTCCAGCCAGGCTCCAGCTGGGATGGCTGAGACACTGAGATCAAGTGCCTTGAACCCGAGGTCACTTGCTCTGTCAGCAGTGCATCAGGGACTGTGAAACCAAGATTTCACCCAGTTCCTTGGCTTGGACTCCTACAACAATAAATCAAGGGACCTGTCAGAACTGGTGATTCATGGAGCATTCAGGAGCTGCTGCCTGGGCCTCTTCCTGGCTGTGCTTTTGGGCAGGAGGGAACTTTAAAGACGAGGACAAATAACACAAGTCTGCCCTCCTTGCTTTCTGCCCCATCTGAGGGTGGCAGCTGGGCACAGTTTGTTGCTGCATGTTCCTTCTCCCATTAAAAGGACAGTTTGGCAGGCACTTTTTCACCCTGTTCCTGAATGAACAGCACTTGGAATTCATCAAGGGAAAAACTACCAAAGGTCATTTACAAAACCCAGCTGCAAATTCTGAGTTAATAGTGGGAATTCCTGTTTCCTGAGCATTCCCTAGGATGCAGTGAGTGTTTGAGGCTGTGGAGCAGAGAAGCTCTGCTTTGTCATTAACTCTGGGAAACAAGTATTCAGTTTTCACCTGGATCAAAGTGCCTCTTGAAATGGGATGGGACGAAGTGTTTTGCAAAATCCTGCAGACCTGTTTCTGCTCTGTTTTTGTGAACCAGACAGTGCTGGATTTGACCTTTCTGTGAGCAACCAGGGCAGTGTAGGGTGATGCACTGTCCTGCAGGCTGTGCTTTCTGTAAAGCAGAAAAAAGGGCATTCCAGGGCTTTTGCTTTTGTTTAGCAATTTGAAAGGAGCAAGGCTGAGAACTTTGAGGGATGCGTTTGTTTTCTCACACACTTCTAGTTGACCCTTCTCATTTTTATTAGGCCAAAAATTGTGGTGTGTGTAAAAAATTACTATTACAAACTGTTTGAGCTGAATAATTCTGCAACCTTACACTGATTTACTGCTGGGGCTTGGGGGAACACTTTCAGTGGTACAATTAATATATTCAAATATTGCCTTGTCCCGCTGCTGCTGGTGATTTCTCTCTCTAGCACCATTCCTATTTCACTCTGCTTCTAAGCAGTGCTGAAAAACCTGAACTAGATTTGACCTGCTAACCCAAAAATTCAAAATTCAGGCTCTTTAAGCTTTCAGTTCTCTTATTTCACTTTGCACCCCTGAGCTGTGAGAACTCTCCGTGTCTGTCCCACCCACAAGTCAGCCTGACCCAGAAGGATCCCTCAGGCACTGTGTTACCAGATATCTCATTCTTACACACTTTGCTGGGTATTTTTAAAGCACAACCTGCTGATT